AACATTTATTACAAAAAACAAGAAACATCACGAGAAGATTTATAATTTCCTCAAACGTGATGCTTCTTCTTTTTTCGATCGAATCATTTTGATGAATAATGGAGCTTGCCAAAGATTTAGTGTTCTACAGCAGATGTAACGTTAACCGATAGGACCAGAAAAAAAAGGACAAAAATCACGTCGAAATTTCGTAGAATGAAAAGCGTGACCATGTTTCTTTTCCAATAAAATAATTCCGAAGTGAGATATGCCGTGTCGATGGTTTTCCATAGTTAAATTTGGAAGAAATCAACCCCTAATTTATTTATTTACATATTCAGCCACCATCACGATTAGATTTCGTCACACCCGACAAATTGAAATTTGACATTTTCTCATTGCTCAATTTNTTCAATGGGTTGAATTGATTCTCAAAAATTTCGTATGAACAGAAATTAGAATGAGTGGATTTCCACAAAAAGAATCGAAAATGAATAAAATAATTTCGGAAAAACTACACCAATTCGCATTTTATCATACTGAGAGAGACCCTTCAATTATAGAGTAACAAAAGACTAAATAGATGCATGAACACCATTAGAAATGGAGTTAACATTCATAAATAAATTTTATACGTGATATTTGAACAAGAATTTGTTTTCTCTAGAGAGTTAATAAAAAATTTAATTGACGAATAAATTTTAAAATTCATCATCTCCCCCCTTTTGCATAATTAAGGGGCGAAAATTAGTGATCATATTCAAAGAATTATTTAAAAAATTTATTCGTTGGAGATTTTTTGAATCGAATTTCTGATTACAAAAAGTAAAAATGACTCATTTTGAATAGTCGGAGATGATTTTGACCTACAGAATTGGATTTCTGAGAAAAAATCATGCGAAAAATAGTCCTTTTAAAAATTATCGCAACTAGAACGCAATATTAGAAGTGCTCAATTCCCCCCGGATGAGCATTATTTTGGATTAGTTACTGTAGGTTTTTTTAGTGATTCATGTGATTGGTGAGAAGAGAGATTGAGTGGGTTTAGAAACTGATTTGGAGTCATTTCTGAGATTACTTGGAGATATTCTAGGAGTTAAACTGTTTAAGGAAATTATGAAGGGTTTCCAGGCGAATTTCTGTGGATCTCTTCGTTTTCAGTTTTGACCATCAATGTACTCATTATTTCTTCGTTCATTTTTTGTTATTTTCATAGAAGGGTTGATGATGTAGATTTTCTTGTAAACATCGCTAGAACGAAGATGTTTAGAGAAATTTATGAAGAGATTTTGTGTTATGGAAATCTTAGAACTTCTTTTTTCCCATTTCCTCTAAGGAGTTATGGGAGATTTGTATAATAATTCCTCGAAACCGTAGAAATCATCTAGAATATGAAATGAATATTTTTATGGAATGAAAAGTTTATTTGTTTATTATAGATACTTATCACTTTTGATGATTTGATGTTTTTAAATTATTCAATTAGTTATTGAGAAGAGAAACTAAATGGAAAGTGATTTAAAGTTTTTAGAGATATTTTTGGAGTGCAGGGGTTCAGGGAATTTTAACAAGAGTTTTCTGACAGATTCCGGTGAATCTATTTTAAGGTGTTTAAAAAATGTGCACATGATTTATTTTTTTGTTGCTTTCTCTAAAGAAATTGATTATGTAGTTTCTCCTGTAATTATCGTGGATTCTCTCGTGAATTTTTATAAAACGAAGAGGTTTAAGAAAATATACCAACAGACCTTTTTTATGGAGAATTTCAAGGGCTCGAGAGATATTTAGAGAATAATCGGGCTTTTTGTGTATTTCTTTCGTCAAATTATTCGACATTTTTCAGAGCACCTGCGTCAAAACTTAGAAATAGTCTAGAATGTAGAAAAAAAATTTCCATAAAATTGAGAATTTCTTCATTAGTGATCAAGAATTGCATAAAAATAGACTAATTGTTGATTCGATGGTTTATTTACAGTTTGGAAATACCTGCTACAGTAATTCCGTGCTCCAAGCCCTGTATTTCTGCCGGCCGTTTCGAGAGAAGGTGTTGGAGTACAAAGCGAGGAACAAAAGAACCAAAGAGACTCTGCTGACATGTCTGGCAGATTTATTTTACAGTATTGCAACTCAGAAGAAAAAAGTTGGTTCCATCGCCCCAAAAAAGTTCATTGCAAGACTAAGAAAAGAGAAGGAGGAGTTTGATAATTACATGCAGCAGGATGCACATGAATTCCTGAACTTCCTCATCAATCATATTAACGAAATTATTTTGGGTAAATTGGAAATTTCATTTACTAAGGTCGCTAAAACCTTTACGTGGAATGGGCAATTATTTTTTAATTATGCATTCTTTTTCGGGTGCTTTCAAGTAAAAATGTTGACAATTTCCTATCTGAAGGATCTTTGATGATTTATTGGAAACATCTTTGTTGATTATCTAATTATCTCAAGAAATATCGGTTTGAAAACAATTATATTTCTTATATCGAGACAATAATATTAATAATTTTCACTCATTTTATCCACAGTTCTCTTTTCAGGTAATATGGAATATTTCGTCTACAATTCAATTGATTAAATTAGGGCGATTACACTGTTCTTTTTCCATTCGATTGAAATTCAGCATCACATTTTCCTTTTTCGCTCTCTGGGTCTCCCCCTGGGCCTTCCTCTGAACTTTGGATTTTGCTATTTCATTTTCTTTTCATTCTACTGAATGGAAAATTATTATTCTCATGAGTACTCTCAATAATAAAAAAAAAGATAATAAACAACAGTTAATAAAAAAATTGTTGATAAACAATTTTCATGGTTGAATTGCATCAAACAGTCGTTTTTCGACTGTTTCATTTTGCCCCACTCTCCCCTAAGTGTGCAATGTCACCAGTGATAAGCATATTCATCAATCATAATTACCGTTAAATTGTGAAGTTGTCAATTTTTCACATAAATCTTAAAATTTTAAATATTAAGGCCAGGGTGTACTATCTTTCGAATGTTATCTGGATTTTTTTATCTTTGGTAATCCACAATTGTCAATTGAGTGGTACATCATGTAGAAATTCCCAAAAATTATGATAGAATGATAAAAAAAATAGATAAAATTCTGATCTTTTTCAAAGAGCGTTTTTGATTGAGATTCAGAATGAGTTGAAAAAATTGGAAATTACAAATATCTGTTTCGCTGTGACAAATTATCTATTAGCTGTCATTCCATGGTGGATAACAAAACCCTAACTCCTCATGGGAAGTGACAGCTAGGTATCTCAATTTTCAAAACAGTGTTATGTAGTCATCTGCCATTTTTATGTGATAAAAGAGTGATTAAAAAATTCTCCAAAATATTACAACTTTTTTCAAAGAGCCTTTTCCGTAATAAATGTCTGTGCAGTGTGGGAAAATATTTACGAAATCAGTCTTCCCCCTGCATGATATTGGGTGACAGGCCGCCATTTGTCACCGTAAATCAGATACATTTTTCAATTTCTTGTTATTCAACTTATTCTGAATATAAATTAAAAATACTCTTTGAAAAAATTAAGAATTTTTTCTACTTCTTTTTTTAGTATTCATTCAGAATTTTTCAAAACTTCTGCATGATGTAGGACTTAATTGACAATTTCAGATGATGAAAGATGAAAAAAAACATTGAGATAACGTTCGAAAGATAGTACACCCGGACCTTGAAGTAACCATCAATTTGTACATTCAAATTTCGAAATATTTTATTAACCAATAATTTACGTAGGAAGATTGACGATTATTTGGATAATCGAAAATCAACTACTTGAATTTAGAATTAGGTTGTTAACTCAAAATTACATTTCAATATTATCAAATATTTTATCCACCATCAATCGGAAAATTTAGCTAACAAATTTTATAATATTTTAAATTTGTTAAATATAGTTAAACTTTGAACAATATAAGGAGATAATCCTTTTTAATATTGTCAAAATCTAATATTATTGGCCACCCCTGAATTTCACCAATAATAGATGATAGATTTCCGAAAATCAGGGACATGTCCCAGGAAATCAGTGTCATCTTCCTGAAAATCAGTGACATGTTCCTGAAAATCGAAACTTATTTTTCTCTTCGTAATTTTAATAATACAGCAAATGAAAATTCCGTCACTCTCCTCCAATTGCAGCCGAAAGGAATCAAAGCAAAACAGGACCTGGAAAAGGCGGAACAGGAGACTCAGGAACACCACCGGAGCCAACTTGGGTGCACGAGATATTTCAGGGTATTTTAACGTCAGAGACACGTTGCCTTAATTGTGAGACTGTGTCCAGTAAAGACGAGGATTTTTTTGATCTACAAGTAGATGTCGATCAGAATACATCCATCACCTACTGCCTCAAATGTTTCTCGAATACTGAAACACTCTGTAGTGATAATAAATTCAAGTGCGATCACTGCAGTAGTTATCAGGAGGCCCAGAAGCGTATGAGGCTGAAGAAATTGCCAATGATACTTGCGTTACACTTGAAGAGATTCAAGTATGTTGAGCAGTACAATCGACACATTAAAGTGTCACACAGAGTGGTTTTTCCACTCGAGTTGAGGCTTTTCAATACTGTGAGTTCATCTGCTGTTCTTGATTAATTCGTTTGCATTTTACTTTTTTCTAATTATAGATTTAATTTCAGAGCGATGACGCCGTTAATCCGGATCGTCTCTACGACTTGGTAGCTGTTGTTATTCATTGCGGGAGTGGGCCTAATCGTGGACATTATATTTCCATTGTTAAAAGCCATGGGTTTTGGCTATTGTTTGATGATGACGCAGTGGATGTAAGTCATTGATTGAAGTTAAATATTAATCAGTGGGGAAATTTAGTTGCAGAATTATCTTTGCACATCCATTGGATAGAGTATAAAATTAAGGATATCCAAGTATCTTTTACAATTCGGTACAGAATAAACTCTAGATTAAACCATTTTCAATCATCAAATTTGTCAATTAAATTTCGTGATAAACGTTTGAAAAAAATCATGAATATTCAGCGTTATTAAAATTGCGTCGCGCAGAATTATTTTTTTAAAAATTCGTTCTTTATAAACAAGTAATTGAAATTGTTTAAACTTTCGGAAATATTATAGCGCTTTTCTGGACATGTTTTTTTTTTCTAACTTATCCGGGTGTGTTTGTTTGAAACGACTTTTTTTTGCTTTCAATTTCGACGAATTTCTTAGGAATTGAAATTTTGAAAAAAAGCAATTGAACTCTATCAGGCAGGGTGGGTTGGAGGTTATTTCAGTCCCCAAAAAACATGTCAAAATCCGAAACAAAAAAATTCGTTTCGAAGAAACATACCCAGATAAATTGGAAAAAAATCGCGCCAAGAAAAGGACTATTATTTTTTTAGGCATGAAATCAATTTCTGGTCAAATTCGGAACATGAAAAAATTTGTTACGATTCCGAACAAACGATATTTATGGTGGAAAATCGATTGTTCATAAGGTAAATGAACCTACGCTCGTCTAGCTAAGGTGAACACATCATTAGTCCAATATTTCTATCGAAATGAGCGTGAAGATGCGATGATTTAAATTACATATCAGAGGGTAAACCTTCAGAATTGGAATTTATCTATATTAATTATGATAATTACTATTTTTTAATAAATAATCGTCCATGAATGTGAAAAGTCCCATGTCCCTACGCTCGTTCATTTGTCCTCATGCTCGTTTGACACATGTCCCTATCCTCGTCTCGTGATTTGAGTGATATGGAAAGGTTATATCCGAACTAATTGCATCGTGAGAATCCTATTTTATGATAAAACAACATTAAAAAATATCTCGATGCACAAAATTATATTTCCATTGGACAGTCCAACCTTTTAAATGATTTTTTCATCCGTTTAGTCCGTTACCAGTTGACAGTTGGGTGCAAAACGAGCGTAGGATCAATGCCATTTTTATTGTACCTATTCTTTTAATTGGCGATATTTCAGTGAAATATCCGGGTATTACTATATTTTATGCATTTTTATTAAATTTTCAACTATTCGAAACCTTAGCCAAGGGATATTTAATTCCATTTTACTATTGTAACGGAGACCTCAACGTTTTAAAATTGTGAGTTTCTTAACTTGTGGCTTAAGAATTAACTCTGTCGTAGCATGAGTTGATGTGAATGTGATTTTTCTCTCTTATTATTCAATAAATCACATTGGTGTCTATAACTTTTCTTATTGACCAAAATAATAACTCCAATCGTGCTTCACTCTCAATAGACTCTTGGGACTATCAAAATGATTGAAATGTTGAATGCTGGCAGGATCTGAACGAGCGTAGGGACAAAGACGGGCATAGGTACATTTACCTTAAATTCTTTATAGAAAATGCTCGCAATTTTCAGAAATTGCACTTTTCATCAATCTTCCTCCGAAAGTAAACTTACTAAGATTTTTTCAGAGTTTTAAAATGTTTTCTAACGGTTCAATATTAAGATTCAAATTCAGATCTGCAAAGTTTAAATGATAAAATCATTGTAGAATGTCCGAAAACTTTGGCTCAAATGAAAGCTCTGATGTTCTACTACAAGAGTAGAAAAGGATTTCACTGGAGAAAAAATAGCCAAAGTACTTGGATATCCTTAACAGAAGACGTTGTAAACGCATAATTGGGGACGTAGAAAGATTCGAATCTATTGTTTATTTCCATGAAAAATCATTTCCAACAGATGTTCAGTACAATTTTGTAGCGAATGTGCTGGCTTCTTCTGTGAAATTGTTTCATGCATGCATTACAAAATATGAGATTGGATTGAAATATAATATTAAATGCCATTGATATTGGGAATAACTAATCGATTTTTTTCTTTTTTCAGAAAATTGATGCATCGAACATAGCTGATTTTTACGGTCTCACTTCAGATATCCACAAGACCTCCGAGACTGGTTACATTCTCTTCTACCAATCACGAGATTGCAATCAATGAAAAACGTGCAAAAATAAAATTCAATTAATAAAGAAAGGGAAACACTAATGTGACAATTATTACGATTAAGAGAATAAGTGAGAGATTAAAACAGGCTTCCTCGTTTTTGTTCTTTCATACTCTATTTTCTCATGAGAAAACGAATGAAATGTTTCTTTTATTTATTTTGATTGTCTCCCTGAACTAGTCCGTATTGAATTGAAAGAATAAAAACCAGATGGTTTTGCATTAATTACGTAGTGGATAATTGTGAAGTTGAATTCGAGAGAAATTAAATGCCAATAGTTATGAATTTACAATGTTTGTATGAAGAGATGTGGAATTTAAAAGGAAATAAAAGAAAATCTCCAGCGGTATTGGTGAAGGAAAAATTTTGTGCTCATTTAAATTCATAAAACCCAAGATGAAAAATTAATAGAGAACTGTAACCATAAAAATATCTGGCTGATTTTGTAGAACATTTTTCTACTGTCGAAACTCATTTTTTTACATTCTGTTCTGACTTTCCTTGTCAATCCTTGGCCAATTATATAGGGTAGATTGGGGCAAAATAAAACAGTGGGGCAACATGAAACAGCCGAAAACCGACTATTTGACGCAATTCAAGCAAAAAAAAAATTTTTTTATCAACTTTTTCTATTATTGGGAGTATTGAGTTAATAATAAAATTATGTTACCGAAATAATTCCATAATCCACACAATTTTGACGTTTGACCCAATTTATTTTACCAATTCAATATTAAAGATTGTGCTGCTTCCCCAAGGAACTAGATTACTAATTTTACTTTGCCGAAATATAATACTCTGACATTGAAATCAACAGCTAATCAATGCTAATTTTGATGGCATTTCAATTGATGATAGTACTATAATATGAAAAAATAGGAGAGAATAGTGAAAAAACAATTTTAAAAAGTGGACCCATTCGAAGGCAAATTGCTAATGTATTAGCTACACTAACTATATTAACTTATTTTTAAAATGCAATTGTCCACTTATTTTACCGTCAAGCCACTCTCACCAAGATACATCTCTAATTCACAATAATTTTAACGTTTGACTCAATTAACTCTATCAATTCACCATAAAAAATCATTACGTTGCCTCCCAAGGAACTGGAATACCAATATCGACGAATCCGAAAGAAAAATCCTCTACTGAGATTGATAGATGAAACCCAACCCATTAAAATTCTCCCTAAGAAACAGTTTATTCTTTTTTTAATTAACCTTAAGAGAATTCAGCAATAAACTCATTAATTGGGGAATCATCTTTGAAGATAATTCCGAGAGGCAATACCATTAATCATTTTTTATAGAAACTTCTTCATCTACAAAAAAGATCTTTTGATACTTTCCCCTCAAATTCTGCTTCATCAAGACAAAACCCAAATTTACAAAATTTGAATGTTTGACTCAATTAACTCAATCAATTAATCACAAAAATTCTCTAAACATGTTATAAATAAACAATTACATTGCTTCTCGAAAAACTAAGATACCAAAAAACCCTCTACTAAGATTGATAGATGGAACCCAACTCATAAAAATTCTCCCAAAAAAAAAACATATTCTTTTGATGCAAAATTCTAGAGTTTAAAATGAGATATGATAGTTAACTAATGAGTCATTTTTGAAGAAAAGAATTCCAAGAGGAAATACCATTAGTTACTTTTTATAGAAACTTCATCAGCAAAAAAGATCTTTTGATATTTTACCTTCAAATCTGTTTTCAAGATAAATCCCTAACTAACAAAAGTAGTATGTTTGACTCAATTAATTCAATAAGTTAATCTAATTTAATAATTATAAAAAAGCCTCAAATATGCTGTACACGAACAATTAAATTGCTTTTATCGAAAAACTAGGATACCAAAAAACTTCTGCTGGGAATGATAAATAAAACCGAACGCATGAGAATTTTTCCTCGAAAAAAACAGTTTATTCTTTTTTTAATTAATCTTAAGAGAATTAAGCAATGAACTCGTAGGGCACTGGAGCCAGGAGGATAGGTGCCTCGCGTCCTGAGACAATATGCGCCTTGGACGGTTGTTTGGGCTGTCTCTTGAGCTGCACAGAGATGTTCTTCTCCTTGGCCTCCTTCCTCAGCTTCTCATTCTGCTTGACCCTCTTGAGGAAATCCTCACGACACTTGGAGTGGGTCAAGTGCTCGATCCTCACGTTTATCCTCTTGGCGATGATGCGTCCACGCACACGCTTGTTGACGATTACTCCAAGTGCATGGGGTGTCACATTGAAAACACGTCCAGTCTTACCATGGTACACTTTGTATGGCATACCCTTCTGCACAGCTCCATTACCCTTAATGTCCACAATGTCACCGACTTTGTACACTTTCATGTACGTGGAGAGGGGAATTGTCCCATGATTCCTGAATTTACGAGAGAACAAGTCTCGTGTACCACGACGGTAACCCTTTGAATTCGTCATGACGATTGGGCTGTCTGTGGAGAGTGAAACAAATTTTTTTAGGTTAGGTTTCTATTTATCATTCTTAACATCAACTTTGCACTGATATGGGGGTTTAACTCACTTTCTCAAGTATAAATAAATAAATTGAACGAATAATTAGAATTTTTATAAGGTGAATCGACCATTAAACAACAATTATCAAAGAAATATTTTGTCAAATGCACGTGGCAGGTTCCCAATGTTTTGTAATGAATTTAGAACTTAGAACTGAGCATTCACTGTCGATTTATTGACAAGAATTGTCAATTAGGTATGTAGATTTTATTGCGGGTAGGGAAATCGGTGATTGCTGAAGGTTTATTTATTAAAATTGAGTTGTATAATATGAGGTGAGCTTACCTTACGCCAAATGTCGCGTACGGGAAAGAAAAGAGAAAAAGAGAGGTTCCGCTGTGTGACGTGAGTGGCAGCACAGCTGCAGAAAATCTGTGTTTGCGCCCTCTCCCACTCTAAAACACGCCCCCTTGGAAATGTCATTGTGAGGTTATACTCATTTGACAGGGTTTGTGGTTCGTAAATAGTGCAACAGATACTTGAATCGAGAAAAAGGAACAAAGGGTGTTGAAGAATTAGAATCTCTGCAGCTTTGTATAATTTTCTATGAAAATGTCGGGTCACGATTATTTAGACGATCCTAAAAACCCTTTCTTCTCGCTCGAGGACGATGTCGATGATGAGGCTTTCCTTCGCAGTGGGCCCCCACGTCCCAACATGCCAAACAACAATCACTTCACGAATTTTGATGATAACATTGACAGACAACATCAGCAGTTGATAGAGAGAAGGAAGGCGATTGAGGATCGAACGATTAAATCTTCCGAGAGGTCCATATCATTGCTCAGGGATTCCGAGCAGATCGGAGCAGCTACAGCTGAGGTTTGTCGTGACATTGAGCCATTCAAGGGGGTAATCATAAGGGGATCAGCGGGTCAAACGATCAGGGTCAGTTGAGCCTAGAATGCTCTTTCATTGTGGAATTATCTCGGTAATGAGCTGTTTTAGGAGAAAATGCGAAGGAACTCTTTTTGAAGATGAGAAAAGTTTATTGAAAACGTCTTTTGATAATTTCTTCTGAATCACTCGGTACACACAGAGAAATGACGCATGTCAATCAAACAAGTCTTTATGCGGAATTTTTCTATTTGTTTTAATAATATAATTGAAATCGTTTCAATTCTATGATATTAAGAATTCATTAGTTCCAAATAAATCCTCTATTAGAATCAGATAAAGGGCAATCCACGCTATCTCAACGGTGAATTTAGTTGAGTAAGGAATCCGGAAACTTGTGAACATTTATATTTCAATAACTACGCATTTTATGTGGAAAACTCAAAAGGGCTTTATTGCTCGGAAAGGATGGTTAGTTATTAAAAAGAATATCGCTCGGAAAAAGTAAATATTGTTGCAACTTTTTAAATCAACAATTAGAAAAACCGTTGCAGTTATGTGAGTTTGACCCTGAAAAATTTACAAAAAATACATGTTGTAGGGAATATTGTTGAGAAAGCTGTGTCAAAATTTGGTTTAATGACACTCACTGATGGTTGAGATATTAATTTTTTAGTAGCTCACTCAATACTTATTTCATGGTAAAGTATGTTTTTTTTGTCGTCATAAAAAAAAAAAATAATCATGAAAACTCTTGTTTTTCTTGGAAAAAATGGATTTTTATTATTAAAAAAGAAAAAAAAATGATTTAACAAATCGGATAATGCATGCAAGAGGATATTGTAAACAGTTTTGGAATATGATCATCAGCAAAAGATGATAACCATCGTCGAAAAATCAATGAAGAGTAATTTAATTGATTACAATTACCTGTACTGATTTCCGATAATTCCTCCTTCCACTTATAATGTGAATCATCGTGGTATGCATTTCTCTGGAAACTTTTGAACATTACACTTTACAATAATTTACAGCTCATTCTTTGGAAAAAATTTTCACCTTGGAAAAACACCCATTTAATTATTAAATGTTCGTGACTCATTGAATTGTTAATGGAATGGGTTATTTTTTATAGAAAGTAAAATTATTTCCCTTTGTGATGTGCCTAGGCTGACCTCAATTGACGAATTTATTTCTGACTTATCAACATTTGAAAAAAGTTAATTGTTCATTTTGTCTGCCACCATATTAATAAATTTGTTCTCTTCGTCAATTGAACAATAATATCATTTCTAACTCATAAAGTTTATGTTTGGATTGAAGTACAATATTTATATTCAACAAACTATTTGATGTGAGTCAAAAAGTAAATGAAAATTGGATTTGAGGATATCTAAGTACTTTGGCTATTTTTTCTCTAGTGAAATGCTTTATGGTTCCGAATGGAAGCATTGCAATCGTTTAAATTTAAGTTTTGAATTTTTTGTTTTATATCGACCCATTATGATCCAAAAAATCCGAAAATGCAACAACTGACGTCACGAAGACGGTCAGGTAACGCTTGATTGGTCGAAAAAGACGAGAGCAGATCGATATTGGATTATTGCGCCAAATTCATAGAATTCATTTAGCTAAGAAATGACGGTTACAAAAACGAATCGGCGTGGAGGACACTAAAGCGTCCCCTGAAAGTTTACATAAACATAAAAAATGATTTCATAGAGAGAAAGAACAGAGAGTTCTTTCATTATAACGAATATTCTTTTGGTCTTTGTGGCCAGCATTGAGTCTCCTAGAGAGATCCGTAGAGAGCAGTCGTTTCTTCCGCGTGCGATTTTAATAATGAAAAGAAGTTAAAGTTTAATCCACTGCATTTCATAATTATTTATATATCCCATATCCAATAGTCGGCTTGAGCCATTCTGTGATTAGTCCAGTGCTCGACCGTCTGTGCGACCTCATTAGCGATTTCAAAGCATTTGAAATCTTCAACGTTTAACAATCAATTATTAATTACTGAGCAATATTTCAAACGTTGATGAATGAAAAATGAATTATTCTGGTTCCAAACTTGAGATTAAAAGATTGAAAAAAATTCATGCAAATTCCGTATTGATCAGATTTTAAAATAATACAATTGATTCAACCATCTCCTTGCAGAAGTCTCTCGTCAAGTGATTCCCCCAATCAGCTAATGAACACTCTCCTTCCAGGAACTTATGAGACAAAGAGAGCAGTTGGAGAGAACCGAGAAAAGACTGGACGACATAAACAGTACTTTACGCTTCAGTCAGAAGCACATTCAGGGGATAAAATCAGTGTTCGGCAGTCTGAAAAATTATCTCAGTGGAAAATCCCTGGAGCCACCTGCACCCACCACCAATGCAAACGAATTTGAGCCCTCCGGGAGCAGCAGACTGGCCCCCATTGTCGAGCAGACAAGATCAAACTTGGCTGCTAATCATCCATCACTCTATCACCGTGGTCTGCTTGACGATGGCCCAGATGACCCAGTGACTGACAACGTCAGCAAAGTTCTCGAGAGGAATCTGGAGGAGATGGGGGGATCTCTAGCTCGCCTCAAAGGTCTCGCCATTGGTCTCACTGAGGAGATTGACTCCCAAAATACATTGATTGATAACGTCGCTGATAAGACGGAGAGGGCTGACATCATGATTGGGAAACAGAATAAAGATATGAGACACTTGTTGAAGAAGTAGAATTTTTAAAATTGGAGGTTTCATTCGTTCTGCAACGAATGATGGCACGAGATGGGTCAAATTCACTTCGGGACAGACGAATTTTTATATATTCAGGGGAAATTTGGAAGTTTTTGGATTTTACTCGATAGTGACTCAACAGGAGGTCGATTTGTTCACTTGGTCGATGGTCGGTCGATCGTCGGTTGATCACCAGTAGAGGGTTAGTCAATCGATGGTTGATGATTGGTCGATCGCTGGTCGAAGGTTAGTCGATCGACGGTCGATGGTCAATTGTTAGTCGATGGATGGTCGATGGATGGTCAGTCGATCGTTGGTCGGTCGATGGTCAGTCGAACGTTGGTTGATCTTTAGTAGAGGATTAGGTAATCGATGGTTGATCATTGGTCAATTGCTGGTCGATGGTTAGTCGATCAACAGCCGATGGTTAATTCTTAGTCGATGGATGGTCGATCGATAGTCGGGCGATCGTTGGTCGATCGATGGTCGGTCGATCGTTGGTTGATCACTAGTAGAGGGTTAGGTAATCGACGGTAATCATTGGTCGATTACTGGTCGATGGTTAGTCGATCAACGGCTGATGATCAATTGTTGGTCGATCGATGTTAGATCGTTGGTTAATCGATGATCAATCAATCAAATTGTGATCGACTAGCAATCGATTGCGTGAGCAACTCGAATCCCCTATCGAGTGATCTGTCGGAATGGTTAGGGCTCTCAAAAAAGCGGAAAAGGGTTTCATGTTGCGCAAGTGTTCGACACGGCGGAAAACTTTGAAAATCGTGCAAATGTTTGTATTTTTAATCGATTGAGTTTAAAACTTGCTTACTCATAGTTAATCTGTGCACGAATAAGAACAGGCATAGATTTTTAAAAATCCAAATCCAAATTTAGTATTTATCCATATTTTTTCTCATCACTGGCATTGCCGATTTTCCGGTAATGTATCCGAAATTGAACAATTTTTTGCAATTTCTTTGAGTCTAAATATTTAAAAAAAAATTTTTTGTCAATACAGGTACACTACATTAAATATGGACATTAAATGAAAATTTAGAAACGATATTCAAAGAAATTAACCAATCCTTACATTAACACGTTACTATTAACTATGTGTGAATTGTTTTTCAGCTCAATTGATCAGAAATTTTACGCACTTGAACGATTCTCAAGGTTTTGGTCCGTTTCAATTCCTTTTTGCACCTCTAAATTCTGCGGAATTGACCGCTTTACTACTTTTTTGAGGCTCTTAACTAATATCTAGAATTTTCAGATTCATGATGTCTTATTAAGCTAGAGAAATATTTTCTCTGGATGTAAGCTCAAGAAATATTTGCAATAAGACCCCAATTTAACAATAAGCCCGGTCTGAACGATTACCAAGGGCTAAAAGATAGTGTTTATAAAAATAAAGTAGTAAAAAAAATCATCAACGACTCCATGAGTTATTAATATATAATAAAAGTCGAAAATTTTAATCTTCTCAGACCTGTTTTTTTTCTAGAGGAAAGTTAATCGTAACAAAAAATCTCTATATAAATTGGACTATCATTCGGTACTTCCGAGATATTTCCCAAAACATTATCCTAAACTGGAATTGATTGAATCTCTGTTTTGCGTCATTAAAAGATGAAAAACAAAACAAATAAATGATTAAGAGAGAAATATCAATAATGAGTAATGACACATGTCTATCCCATGGTTTCAATGAATCTATTAACTTAAATGAATGGGAAACGTTAGGAGCATTTTTGCTGTTAGTATACAATTATGATATTGAGGAATTTATGAATTTTTCAATCTACGAAGCTGTCGGAGCTAAACCGAATTTGACTGGGGCATTTAGATATTTTGAATTTATGATATTGATGGATGAGTTGGGGGATTGTATCGAAGCTTTTTCTTATTATTGCGTTTGAGGTTTTATGTGGGAGGGAATTCACAAATGCTGAAGGCTCAATGAAACTGCCAATATTACTTTATTGAGGTAATTCATTTGTAAGTGTTTATAGAATAAAGTGATTTTACATCTGATTTTACGAGAAATGGAGATTTTTCACAAGGAATTGTCATTGTTATGGTCCGATGGAATTTTGTAGCTCTTCTTATGCACTTCCTGAAATGTTATTCATTAGTTTAATAGATAGACATGAAATAAAATTCTTTGTAATACCTGCTTGAAAAGTTCACCTTTCATTACATGTGTGTAAAGTGACATTTTACGCACGCTTGGCCTACGGAAAAGCCCACTTCACAAGCATTGTGATGAAAAATCGCGTCGGACACTCGTGGGAAAAGTATGCCTTGAGCTGTGTGGGGGGTGGGGTAGTACAGTAGACTCCCGTTAAAGTCACACTCAAGGGGCTGTTGGGGAAATGAATTCGGGGAATGCGACTTTCACCTTCCAACACCGCGCGCTTACTCCGGGCGTCATTTCTCAGAATCGACATTGATAAAATAAAAATACTGAACTTTTATTTTATTTTATTAATGAAAAAATGAAAATATAATAATTATCATAACAATTATGATATTATAATGACCAAAAAAAATAAAAATTAATTAGTTATTATTAATAATTAATTATTGTCATGTGGATCCATTTTTCAATTCATTTAAATTTTCACTCGATCAACTAACTAATCAAATTTTAACTTATTTTACCACAGTAAAAGTGTAACCTCTCTCCGTAACGATTAGGAGCAGACTAAATGTCTACCCATCGTAAATTCATATTTTCAGTATTTTATTTTGCGAATTTCCGAGAATTCAAAAACAATGACTCCTCCACGAAAAACAGGAGCATTCGTTTAAAGGCTTTCGTAGATAATGGAGTGGGGGGGAGCGCTCGCGGGCCGAAAAATCGATATGAGGGGAAATGCGACTATAAGTAGTGTGTCTCTAACGGGAGTCTACTACTCGCTTTTGGCGAGCGCTACACACCTCTGGCACGTTAAAAGCCACTTTGCATTATTGTGTCTATGTTCAACTCGTGTGTCAAACTATTTTACATAACATCTCTAAAGTACTAGATAATAGATACTTGGAGAACGTAAAATCATGGATGAAAGCGAAGTATGGCGAATAATAGTACATTATGTCATCAGGCGATAAAAGTATTAGCTGACTCATGTGATGATAATCCGAGCCGAAGGCTCGGATTAAGTCACGTTCGTCAGGTAATACTTTTTTTGTACTGCTTCTCACGATTTCTCGTCTGGGAATTGGTATTACATACTTCCCAAACTCGAAAACTTGAAAATTACTACAAAAAAATCTTGTCCCGGGCTGCTGCGATGGGGTTTTTTTACTCATGTGGTTGACCAGTCCTCGGCTTCGGCTCAGACGCCAATGCCACATGAGTAAAATACCCCATCGCAGCAGCCCGAAAAAATACTATTTCAACACACTGCCCGTAAAACGTTTTACGGAGACTTCGTGTCCGTCAAACATCGTTTACGGACATCCTGAAGAAATAGTATATTTCGATACGACTGAGACGGAATTTTCACAAGTGTGAAGTTCTCTCGTTCTTTGCACACTGACTTCAACGATCTGTTTCACACTCACTATCCAAGTGAGTCGCCTATACTGAGCCACAATTCTGAATTCACCGAGTTCTTTGTCTGCTGACTATAAGTTTACCCACTCCCGAGATTTGAGCTCAGTGGAAAACTACAAAGTACACATTTTTGACTTTGCGTCTACGTCGAGGCGAAAAATGCGGTTTTAACCACCGGAAGTAAAATAGAAAACTCTGAGGGGTGGTCCATGGAACAGAATCCACACGTAGACGCATCCGCATAATCAATTGCTCGACTCTGATTGGTGCACACGGATGCGTCTCCGTGTGGATTCTATTCCATGGACAGTCATTTTCAATATAAATTGTTACTCATATTGAGAATAATCCCGGTTGCCCTCCTACCTCATTCAATACCCATCCAATCATATTCTACGACATCACAAAGATGTGGAACGCTATATAAATTCCCGTCTTTAATGTAAAAATGTTCTTACCCATGTGCTTACCACCCGCGCCTTCATCTCATGTGGTAATTCCGCAAGTGGGTACGACTCCTTTATTTTACCTCCCTAGGTTAGAAATATACTATACCTCCAATGCACGTTCGAAAAGTGAACTTTGCAGGTATTACAAAAAATAAGGTGTCACACGAGCGTGCGAAAACACGGAGAGAAATATTCAAGGAAAATTACGTATCTTTTCCGTAATTCCGGAGCGAAATATGATTGTAGGAAATTTTACGGAACCGTCACGGAATTTTTCCAGAGCGTTCCATAATTTTTATCCGAATCGCCAGTAAAAAATGACGATACCGTCACTTAAATTTTCCGAATCGATTCCGTAATTGGTGAGCGAACTGTAAATTCCGTAATTTTTACCAAACATTTCTCTCCGTGAAGGTGAAAACTATCACACTAGTAACACAATATACTATGATCAAATCTTGATTAGGACAATTGTACCATTTTGCGTATCAGTGGAATTTCTCTCCACATCCGGTGGAGGTGGAGGTGGGCCGTGTCTTCCATGGAATCTCCCAGGACCCCTTGGACCGCCGAAACCACCGGGACGGCCGGGATCTCCACGCCCATGGTGATGTTGGCAGGGACGATCGCTAGACGATGATGTTTCAGGACTCTCTGTTTCTTGGGCGAAGCAAATTCCCAGCTGGTTCGAAATTAAAAGCGTTAATTAATGGTTTAGAAAATATTACAATTTTTTATTTAAACTTTTTTGTTCTAATCTTAGTGCTTGTGGATACTGAGATTGTGATCATTTTGAATTTCATTAGCATCACTGATTGATGGCATTCATTGTTTTCCACCGTCTCGACGTGAAAATTGATTGTTACTTCAAAGATAGATAATTAAATGTATCCACATGTTTCAACGGATTTGGTATACCTTGAAATTACACTCAGCACTCACACTTTATTGACATATTTGCAAAACTTATAGAATAGAAAGACCTTTTTCTACCCACAATCAATGTGTTACACCGTCCCCAATGGCCTAGCGCACATAAAAATGGCCATATCCTGTGAGAAGTCCGTAAAAAAAGTGTTTTCTCATTCTCAATTTACAGTTCCCTGCAAAGCAGTGGCGTCAGCTGTGTCGTTAACTTTTCTGCAAATTTTACGCCGTGTCGTGCGTATACGTACATATATGTAAACAAAGTTTTCTTCGATTGTTCACTAATGAATTGAATCTTTTTTTTCCTTATTGTGGAACCCTATTAATCGCCATTAATCAAAATGTAATTCATTTATTAATTTTTAAAATTTTTCAAAAATTGCTTTTTGCACGATAACTAAAAAAATGTTTGGAATTGATTGAATGATGGCTTACAAGATTTGGTTGGATGTCCTTTCGACCGAGTTCGAAGATGAAGGCGATAGCAATTATCATTATTTTGATATATTTGAAAATTTCCAAAAATTCTGTATTTTTTGACATACCGGGATATCAAAGTATACCCGATACCCGTGAGATATCTAAATATCAGGCTTCAAATGAATTCAATCATAAATTGAAATGTTCGTTTTAATGCCATTTTTCGCCATGGCGGGCGGAAAGGACACATTTTTCTCCCGTTTCGCGGGAGGAAAATCTGCCCTTCCGCCTACGCCGTGACAAAAAATAACGTTCTCACCACGGGAGGTAAAATAAAGGACCCTTACCCACGTGCTTACCGTCTTATTCTGCACGTGGGCACGACTCCTTTATTTTCCCTCCCTAAGTGGGAAATATGCCATAGTCGAAGTTAAAGGATGATTACGATAGCTATATTGGTTGATTTCATTTTATGATGATTGTTGAGAATTTCGAATTTTTCATGAATTTCTCTGAAAGTGAGCTTTTTGATGGTTTCATCAAATGTTGAAACCGTTTCAAATTCATTCAAGCATATAAATAAAATTTTTCTATTAACAATGAATCATACATGATAGAAGGAAATGATGTGCAAAATAACCATTTGGAAGTAGGTATATTGCTAATTTATTAGCAAAAATAACTATACTACAGTAGACTCCCGTTAGAGTCACACTCAAGGGGCTGTCGGAGAAGTGAATTCGGGGAATGCGACTGTATTCACCTTCCACCACCACGCGTTTACTCTGGGCGTCATTTCTCAGAATCGACATTGATAAAATAAAAATACTGAATTTTTCTTTTTATTTTATTGATGAAAAAATGAAAATATGATAATAATTATCATAACAATTATGATATTATAATGACCAATAGCAATAAAAATTAATTAGTTATTATTAATAATTAATTATTGTCATGTGGATCCATTTTTCAATTCATTTAAATTTTCACTTGATCAACTAACTGATCAAATTTTAACTTATTTCACCACAATAAAAGTGTAACCTCTCTCCATAACGATTAGGAGCAGACTAAATGTCTCCCCATCGTAAATTCATATTTTCAGTATTTTATTTTGCGAATATCCGAGAATTCAAAAACAATGACTCCTCCAGGAAAAACAGGAGCATTCATTTAAAGGCTTTCGTAGGTACTGGAGTGGGGGGAGCGCTCGCGGGCCGAAAAATCGATATGAGGGGAAATGCGACTATAACGAGTGTGACCCTAACGGGAGTCTACTGTATATGCAATACAAGAGCAATGTCCCACTTGTTTTCTTTAATATTTATGAAACTTCAAAGAATAAAGTTGAGCATCCGCTTTACTTTATTTGCAATAGCTTCTCTAGAGTAGGACTGAAAATTCATTGGTTTTAGTAATTGATTTTCTTTTAAACCCTCCTTCTTGCTTCAACCTGTCATTTGTGTAATGAAATTTTGATTTTCTTGCATAATAGTGGATTTCGACATAAGGCTTAGAAAAACTTTTCTAACTCATATGATTGGTGTAAACCTCCTATTCGTCACAAAAGTTTTTTAGACCTTATGTCGAAATCCACTATTAAAAAGCGAGCAGCAAAGCTGCGGAATTTTTGAATAGAATCAGCCAAAAACTAATAGAATTTTCAACAGAATTTGCAAGGTTTGTCTATGAAATTTGTTTGTCTGCTACGTGAATGGAAATAAAAATACCATAATTCCGGACAGCAGTAGAAGAGCAAAACTGACACTGAGAAACTTCATTGTAGCCGTTAACACTGCACCGCAACTTTGCCTGAATAATTCTTGATGATTTTCGAATGTACCTCCTGTTTATATGCCATTCACGTTGTTTTAATGGAGTAAAAACACTCATTTGGTCATTAAACAGAAAAAAATGAACAGGAGGGGGACGTTCATTGTTCGACATTGCCGCTCATCAAAAATCGCACCAACTTCCGTGGAAGAAAATGGAAAAACAATATTTTGTTCAACACCTGATAATAGTCATTATCACCAGTGAACATCTCAGCATCCTTGAAAAGTGATTTTTCCACTGATGAGGTATCATTTATTTCATTGTGTAACATCATACATAATAGTATTTTCGCATGACACAGTTAAATATTCAGATGAAAAGATAATTGATTTTTTTCCTTTTTTTATTAAACATGTTGACCGTTGACGTCATTGGGTATTGATGTGGCTTCATAAGCGAGACGCTCTGCCTCGCGCTCTGCAGCAATCGCTTGGTGCTCAGCAGCGATTTTCTTGAACAGCTCAAGGTGGCGTTCCTTGGCTTTGGCAACACCTACAGTTTCCTGTTTAAAATGCAATCATTTCTGTAGTATGTTATTTCTATAGCCATTTTCGTCACAAGGCCGAAAAAAACTTTTGTGACGAGTGTGAGGTTTGCAGACCGGGGCGAAGCCGAGGAGTGCAATCACACGAATCACACAAGTTGTTTCCAACCAAGTCACGAACATAATTTTTTTTCACCATGTCAGTAACGGGCGTTTGACGGACACTAAGTATCCGAGCCGAATAAGGCGAATACCTTCATCGCCGTGTGAAATACAATATTTTATGTCATTGGGCCCGAAAACCACGATCTAACCGAGCGAAGCGAAAATATTGTTCGACACATGGGAGACGAGAATTTTCAGTTCGTGTGATTGGCAGCCCTCGACTTCGTGAGAATTCCATCTCACTCGTATCGAAATATACTATTTCATCACAATGTGTAGAAAGTGAGATTTTACGGAGCGTGCGTAAACTTTTACTTCACGCATAAATGATGAAATATACTATTTCCGCAAGACCTTGAACTTTGCGCACACCGTGCGCAAAAACAATCTCTTCACCCCCATTACCGCTCTGAACCGTGAACTCGGCGGGGATCACAAAAATAATAGGTGTCACACGTGTGTGTGGAAAATTACAACGCATTTTGTAATTTTACGCACTTGTAACATTTTGTAATTTAACACACTTGTAGTATTTCACAAGGAATTTGATGGCCTAGGAAAATGGTTCCCTAGAATCTTCTTCTGCTCTGTTGGTTTAGAATGTTCGAGAGGTGCAAGTGTTGCAGTTGATAATTTTTTTACCTTAGGGAGGGATATGAAACCATGGGAATTGCTTTCAGCAATTCGTTGATAAAGAGCGAAATGTCTCTCCCTCTCGCGTTTCACAGCTTCTGAATCTTCTGGTGGTGTCTGGAACTCATCGAAGTTCTTCAAAACTGGATGAAAGCCATTTTTATCTGCTGTGTAGTCAACCGTCCGAATTTGAAACTTAGGATCGATGAATGAGTAAGTGCCTGAAATTCCAAATTTTTATTTACAACATTGCACAGGTGAAACAATTTTAAAATACATGCTGAATTATTATCAACCATACAGTTATCTCGATGATTTCAATACCGAATATCTCACCTAAATTGGAGAATGTCTTCTAAAATTTTTTAACGCGATAAGCGTTAATTGTGATGATTGATTAATTAATAATGGATTTAAAGAAAATTATCATTATTATTATTTTCTAGAAATTATTTGTACTGAATGATTATCCACGCATCTGTAATTGAAATGCAATGAAATTGAACATTTGAAAAATTGCTTTTTTCGAGCATAAAAATACAACATGCTGTTCCTTTACTTATCCATGAGAAAACTATTACAAATCGAATAAAAAAATACATCCGATGTGTTAATGAGTTCAAAATCCATTAGTTAATTAATTACAGATGAGGATAATTATAGTTATGCAACCTCGTCGTCAAAGAGCTGTCGTAAGTCTGGTTTGGGCTTAGCTTGGATGATGTCGCGGATATTTATGACTATTTTTATGAAGGGGATAACAATGTTTTTACTATCATGAATTGATGGTCATTATTCCAGGAATTACGGAAATTAATTAAACGTAGATTTTACTCTTGAGGACTGGTTAAGCCCCGGATGAGCCTCGACGTACTCAGTCTTAATAATTAAGCTATTTGTGGCGTGGTCAAGGGGGGGGGGTCGAAAAAGTAAAGAAATTGATGATTTTTTTTCTATACATTTCTTGATTTTTTCAAAACCCCGTTGTAAAATTCCAGACAACCTAGGAGAAAAATGCATTTTAACACGGGCACTTATGGGAATTCGGTAAAAAAATATTAAAGATGGAAAAAAAGTTGCCATTTTCCTGAAATTTCGCACTTGGGTGAAGCTTTCATGGAGGAACATAACAAAAAATCCAAGTATACTGTTAGAAATTTTTCGAAATTTAAGTAACAGATGCATTTGAATTTTCAATATTCTGAACTTGAATTCAATTTCAGACTAAATTGCTCATGGAATTCCTGATTCATTTTGGAAATTCAATAAAATTAAGTTTTCATTATTAATGATCGCTATGGGAAGGAACATAACAGCTGAGTGAATCAGTGCTGCCAACTTATATCTCAAATGGCATGACGTTATCACTATTTCTATCCATATTAATTATTTTCCATTTATCCAAAAGACAAGCTAGAAAAATGAAAGAAGACTTGAAATATATGGGGAAAAAATAGAAACGTTATTAAAAAAATATTTCGGACATAAAAATAGTCGAATAAGATTGAAAATTTGTAATTGAAATATCGTTTTTTTTTGTTCAGCGATTGGTTTTCCGCGAGAGAACAATAGATTCCCCTCCGTCTCACTTCCGACATGTTGAACCCGCCATAAATACCTTAACCCTATTCGGGTCGCCAAACGCGACCATGCGATTGGTCACCTTCGCGGGGATTCCTCGCCGTGTTATTTAGGCTTCAGCGTTGCCGAATTCCCTCTACACTGCCCGGGCGCGTTTAGCGGGTTTCTGGCAACGTCGCGCCATGGGCAATTTCATTTAACATGGGAAAAAATAGTTCATCTCGCCGAAATAATTTATTTTCTTTAGAAAATTTGGAGAAATATGTTGTTCTAAAAATTGCAATAATTTTTTAGACACTTCAATTGACAAATTCAAATTTTTTTAAATTTTTCCGGTTAGCCAGTCAATATTATAATTTAAAAAAAACGACGCACGGCAGGGTTTCCCTCGTAGGGTGACCAATCGAGAGTTAACCCCTCACGGAAAGAGCCGTTTTGTTTCCAAGGAGCCTATTCTCGAATTGATATCGTACGTTCGACTTCAATAAGTCGCATACCCCCTATAAGGCGTACCACGAGTCACATGCGATCTACCGAAATCGAGCGCACGATTTCAACTCGAGAATAGAATCCCAAGCGTACTGTGCGCTGGATAAAGCTAAAATAGATGACTTCTAATGAACGGTAAATTATGAAACCGATATGTAATTGAAGCTACAGTATTCCTTTTTCCATTGTTATTTGTTGTGGTGAGTTACTTTCCATAGTTTTGGAAATAATCAATTTTGAAGAGAGTCGTTCACATTTTCATGGGTTGATACTATATATGTATCATGTATACCGTATGAAATTTCACGTTTTAAGTAGAATTCACGGAAATTCATGAGTTTTCACTAGGAGTGAGATAGAAATTTCACAACTTCATTGAATTTTTCAGTAAATCATGAATATTCACAAACGAAATGACATGAACTTTTACTTTCATTTTATTTTTATTTTTAACGAAATTTGTTGCAAGTTCGAGAACTTGCAACTGGCCATCGCCCGAGGGCCTTCAGCCAGGTATTTACAATTTAGTATATAAGGATTTCAAATGGGGTGTTTGTCTTTCAAATATTTCACAGTAAAGAAAAGTGGTAGAGATAAATAATTTTTACTTTTTCCCTTAATTTTTCTGATTTTTCTGCATTTTCACAGAATAATTCAGTAGTGAAGTGGTAAAACGAGGTAACGGCAGTTTTTTCGAAATTTGTTTTATTGCACCAATCACATTGTAATATTGATCTGCAAGTGCTGACGGAAGGGTTTGGTCTAAAAATAATATTTTATGGGGTTACATGAAAAATAAAAAAAGAGATATGTGCGAGTTTCAATTTTCTATCAATGCAATTGGAGGTAAGTTGACATAACTCCCATAATTGGGAGGACCTAGAGGAGGTAACTTCACTTATCTCCATATGTATTGATAGAGACTCAATTCCTTATTCCAACTGTTATTTTGAAAAACAGGATGGGGGCAAAACGAGCCAGGGGGACACAAATGATAAAGGGAGCAAAATGGCCCATATAAAAAATAAATCTCACGAGGGTCACTAAGGGGAGGGTCAAACCTCACGAGGGTCATGAGGGTCAAAGGTCACGGCAGTCACTAGAGGGAGGGTCAAACGTGACGAAGGTCACTAGAGGGAGGGTCAAACGTCACAAGCGTCATTAGAGGGAGAGTCAAACGTCACGAGTGTCACTAGGGGCAGGGTCAAACGTCACGAAGGTCACTAGGGGCAGGGTCAAACGTCACGAGGGTCACTAGGGGGAGGATCAAACGTCATGAGAGTCATTAGAGGGAGAATCAAACGTCACGAAGGTCACTAGGGGGAGGGGGAATCGTCACGAGGGTCACTAGGGGGAGGATCAAACGTCATGAGAGTCATTAGAGGGAGAATCAAACGTCACGAAGGTCACTAGGGGGAGGCTGAAACGTCAGGAGGGTCACTAGGAGGGGAGTCAAACGTCATGAGGGTCATTAGGGGGAGGGTCAAACGTACGAGGGGCAAATTAGGGTCTGGAGTTGACCTTTACCTTCTTTCCTTCATGTGGAAATCCATCCGTGGCTTTTTCTGTTTGGAAAACTTGAAAAACTATTTTTCTCTATTTTTCCAGATTTTTTAGTGACCCAATTTAAAGTTTTTTCTTTCATTTTTCTTTTTTTTTCTTTTTTCAATAATTCAAGTTCTACCAATCCGATTTTAATATTCTTATAGAATGTAAAATGGAAAATTTTGACGCTTAATAAATCAAAATCGGATGAATAAAACTTGAATTATTGAAAAAAGAAAAAAAACTAAAAAAGAAAGAAAAATAATATTGTTACGTCAAAAATGATCCAAATACGACGTAAACTTGTTTGAAATTCCCCGATGAAGCANGAAATTTCACGAGGGTCAAACATCATGAGTCTTTAGAGAATGGTTAAATTTTCCGAGGGTCAAACATCACAAGGGTCTCAACGGGATGGTCAAACATCACGAGGGTCACGTAGGTCACAAGGGAATGGCCAAATTTCACGAGGGACATGTGGGTCACAAAGGAATGGTTAAATTTCACGAGGGTCAAAAATGATAAGAGTCACAAAGGGATNTACAAATTTGATTACTAGATAAGAATCCCTGGACAAGGAAAATAAAATAAATCAAAAACTGAGTTTAGCTTAAACTGACTCTGTCGAGTCTATATTTAAAACATAAGAACACTGAAAATATTAATACATGTTTGGACTTACAAGTGATGANTATAAAAATAATGGGCGAATATTTGAGAAGGTCAGAGCATTTTCTCAAATTTTCTAAAAAATCCGAGAATTTCCCTCAGGATATTCGACCCTCGTAAAATTTGAGCATCACCTCGTTATCCTCGTGATGTTTGACTCTCCTGGAGTGCAATCATCTTCTTGTGACTCTCGTGATGTTTGATCCTTGTAAAATTTGACTATCCCCTAGTGACCCTCGTGATGTTTGGCCCTCGATAAATTTGAGTACCCTCTTGTGACTCTTGTGACCCTCGTAACCCTCGTGACCCTTGTGAAATTTGACTATCCCCTTGTGACCCTCGGGAANGGAGCACAAGTAGTTTTGTTTCCTCAGCCTGAGGGTGTCCTCAGATGCAAGGAGGGAAAATTCGGGGGACCAATGGCCCTTGACCTTGGCCCAGAATTTCCACTCCTGACACTCCCGGTCCCAATGCTTCAGGGTAAACTCCGACCCCTCCACATCGAGATGTTGGGGTGTGGGCGGACTTTTCCACCCCCAACTGCCAATGAGATTTGTTTCAGGAGGTCCCATTTTCTCCCTCCACAAACCATTCACTAGGCTTAAACAATACGATTATTTATTTAATATTTCCCATTATTTTTACTAAAGGAATTCCTTTGCGCAAATTATCATAATAAATTCATAATCAATTAAATTTAATTAAAAATAAGAAAATTAACTTATCTAATGAACTCTAAATTGTTACGTCGTTCTCTTGAGTTTTTAATTGAAAATTGAATCATTTGAGTTTGAAATATTCTGAATTCGAACTCAATGATGAAAAAGAAAATTATTCATGTAATCATTTTATCAGTTACTATTTCATCATGAAAGAAATAATTTTAGTTCAAAAAGAATGAAATCAATTTGAGATTTCAGAAGTTGTATGAATAATTATGATGAAAGATCAGAAATTTCATTTTAAAGAAAATCAATTGAATTGAAAAGAAATTACTTTGAAATGTAATTCTATTAAGCTGCGATAATATAAAAACATCGGTTGAAACTATCGTAGCGATGAAATTTTTACATCAAAATAATCGTCAGAAAATTTCCAACAATTAGAGCTACCTTTTACAAATGAAAAATAATATTTTTCTAACAACTTCGAAAATTGTCAGAATGATTTATTATTTCCGGCTTAAAAGGAGAACTCAAATATCCCCTCGCCAAATGTTTCAAGAAGGAAACTCTTGTTTAAATTTTATGGGGGTCCGAGAGGAGAAACTCAAATTCCGGTTTATTGGGGTCCGAGAAGAGAAACTCAACAGACCCCACTTCCCGATAAGATGGGAAAATTCCACATCTTGAAAATGTATTACCCCCCGGACACGTCACTGAACCGTCAGTGAACAATGGACAAAGAGAGAGAAAGACTGGGGCGTGCACTTGAAGCACTACGGTGCGACAAGAGCCTGGCCCATGTCTTGAATTTTACGACCGTATTTTCGACGAAAATTTCCTTGAAAATTTGCTTTCCTGATAATTTATTATCTGCAGCTGGCCCTTGGCTTTCAAAAATAAATGAATTTACGCGTGAGAAAGAATTTTATCTTTAAACGGTTTTTGTTTCCCCAAAATATGATTTATCTAAGTTTTCCAGAAATATTCAATTAAACGATTTTTCGACGGATGTCACAATATCTTCATATAGGGCCACCGACAAAATCTCGAAAAATGAAGAAAAATAGTTTTTCAAGTAGCCCAAACGTAGAAAAAGCTACTATGGACTTCCTCATGAACTCCTGACCCTTATTTAACCCTGCCCCTAGCGACCTTTGTGACGTTTGATCCTCCCCCTAATGACCCTCGTGACGTTTGACCCTCCCCCTAGTGACCCTCGTGACGTTTGACCCCCGCCTCTAATGACCCTCGTGACGTTTGACTCTCCCCCTAGTGACCCTTGTGACGTTAGACCCTCTCCCTCTAATGACCCTTATTTAACCCTGCCCCTAGCGACCTTTGTGACGTTCGATCCTCCCCCTAATGACCCTCGTGACGTTTGACTCTCCCCCTAGTGACCCTTGTGACGTTAGACCCTCTCCCTCTAATGACCCTTATTTAACCCTGCCCCTAGCGACCTTTGTGACGTTCGATCCTCCCCCTAATGACCCTCGTGACGTTTGACTCTCCCCCTAGTGACCCTTGTGACGTTAGACCCTCTCCCTCTAATGACCCTTATTTAACCCTGCCCCTAGCGACCTTTGTGACGTTCGATCCTCCCCCTAATGACCCTCGTGACGTTTGACTCTCCCCCTAGTGACCCTTGTGACGTTAGACCCTCTCCCTCTAATGCCTCTAGTAACCGTCGTGACCTTTGGCCCTCGTGACCCCCGTGAGGTTTGACCCTCCCCTTAGTGACCTTCGTGACGTTTGACCCTCCCCCTAGTGACCCTGGTGACGTTTGATTCTCCCTCTAATGACCCTTGTGATGTTTGACCCTCCCTTTAGTAACCCTCGTGACGTTTGACTCTTCACCTAGTGACCCTCGTGACGTTTGATTCTCCCTCTAATGACCCTTGTGATGTTTGACCCTCCCTTTAGTAACCCTCGTGACGTTTGACTCTTCACCTAGTGACCCTCGTGACGTTTGACTCTCCCCCTAGTGACCCTTGTGACGTTAGACCCTCTCCCTCTAATGCCTCTAGTAACCGTCGTGACCTTTGGCCCTCGTGACCCCCGTGAGGTTTGACCCTCCCCTTAGTGACCTTCGTGACGTTTGACCCTCCCCCTAGTGACCCTGGTGACGTTTGATTCTCCCTCTAATGACCCTTGTGATGTTTGACCCTCCCTTTAGTAACCCTCGTGACGTTTGACTCTTCACCTAGTGACCCTCGTGACGTTTGACGTTCCCTCGAATCACCCTCGTGACGTTTGACTCTTCACCTAGTGACCCTCGTGACGTTTGACGTTCCCTCGAATCACCCTCGTGACGTTTGACTCTTCACCTAGTGACCCTCGTGACGTTTGACGTTCCCTCGAATCACCCTCGTGACGTTTGACTCTCCCTGTAATGACCGCCGTGACCTTTGACCCTTGTGACCGTCGTGAGGTTTGACCCTCCCCTTAGTGACTCTCGTGAAGTTTGACCTTCCCCATAGTGACCCTCGTGACGTTTGATGTTCCATCTAATCACCCTCGTGACGTTTGACCCTCTCCCTCTAATGACCCTCGTAATGTTCGACCCTCTCCCTAGTGACCCTCGTGACGTTTGACCCTCCCTCTAGTGACCGCCGTGACCTTTGACCCTCGTGACCCTCGTGAGGTTTGACCCTCTCTTTAGTAACCCTCGTAACGTTTGACTCTACCCCTAGTGAAATTTACATACTTCATGTGCGAAGTCAACATATCTCTTTTTTTTGTGATAACCCAACGAATTAAGTCAACTTGACTCTCCACACAGAATTAAAATTTGGAGGTAACTACTTAAAACTGCGTAAAGGATTAATTCCGCAATTTTATAATAATAGGGTAAAAAATTAAAGGACAGTAGAATAAAGATTCGGCGTCATTTATACTAAATTTCCCACTATCGATGACATAGCCGTTTTTTTGCTCTCCTGTAAAATTTCATTTTATGCACTTACCTCGTTTTACCACTTCACTACTGAATTGAACTGACAAATCAAGTATTTTATTGATTTCCAGATCATATCATGTTCAAGTTATAACTTGAATACGATAAAAATTTCCGGAATTGGGCACGAAAAATTCAGACAAAAATTCTTAACAGTGTAATACCGACAATGAGAACAGAGCTGGCTGAGGCCTGAACCACTGAGCCTTGTCAATCCAGGGCTCATACAAGTTTGTTCCCATCGTCAGCCTTGATAATTCTTATCCGGGTAGATATATCGATTTTACCTTGAATCGCTCCAGATCCATCGCCAGACTCCGACTGGAAACGATCGACATTTCCTGGAAAACGTCCAGCCTTGTAATGAAAACTGTAGGGAACAGGCGGTGGTGGTACGGTCGTTGTCTCCACATAGTAATTATGGGGTAGCAGGTGTGAAACGTCTCCCAAACATGCCGAAATTGAGAGAAGAATACCGAGGGCGACCTGCGGACAGATGTCAGATTGTTAAATCAAAGTATGGAACGTAAAAAGTCGATTGTCCACATTTTATTGCGTATGAAATCATTTCAATAATAACACATTGTAAGGGAGAATTTCAGAAGATATCTTCTATAATATGTATGAATTCATTTAACAAATACTATGAAGAAAACAAGCAGGGGTTCGAGCTGACCGTTACTTTTTGTGTTATTAGTCTTTCTTTTTTTAAAATTCTACCAATTCTATTAGTTGCTAGCTTCCAGATGGCATATAGCGGCAACCACGTTCTGAAGAGGGTCTACAAGGAAATATTTTACCTTTTGAAGAAATAGATTTCTGTGATTATGATGATATGATCATGAAGAAATTAACTCATGTGATTATGATCTTCACCTTCGGCTCGGCTTATAAAGTGGCATTCGTTAAAAAATACTGTTTAGGCCTTGTGACGAAAATTATTATATGCAATAGTATATTTCTATCCTGGGAAGGTGAAATAAAGAACGCCTACCCGCGTGCTTACCAAATTCCGCACGTGGGTACGGCTCCTTTATTTTACCTCTCGTAGTTAGAACTGTATTTTTCGCCTCAGCCTAGGTGCAAAGTCAGATTTCGTACTTTCGGAAATGTGTACTTTGCGCTCACAGGGGCTAAAAAGGTTAAATACCTCTGAACCCGCTCGACCGATTGCGCCCATCCAAAATATCAGCCTTCAATATTATAAGATCGTAAAATGCATTCATAAAGACCCTAATTTACGTTTCAATAAACATAAAAGGCGCTTTGTTTAGGCATAATTTATATTTATATTTTCATCGTAAAATAGGCCTTTTTAAAGCCTTAATTTCGATTTTCATGACGGAAAAAAAGCCCCCAGACATCATATTGACATTAAGCGTTAATTACGTTTAACAAAACGTAATTTACGTTTGGGTTTAATTTACGTTTAGTTATTTCTGTGTATATAATTGGACGGTCAATATTATATATTGGATATATATATATATATATATTGGATATATATGTATTGGATATATATTGGATATATATTTTAATTGATTTGGATATAGACCATCGAGTCGAGCATTTTGAAAAAAAAGTTGAAATCGGTGGTGTAGTTTCAGAGACGTTGAGGGAAAATCAAATTTAAACAAGTTGCTAGATCTCAGGAAGTACTGCGCTGATCGGGCTGAAACTGTGCGCCAAAGTTAAGTTCAATCATTAACTATCATATGTCAAAATTCCACATTTTTATCGACGAATTTCACCATATTTATGCCACATTTTCTGAAAACACCACTGAAAACCGAAATTGTCGCACCCATACGTACAGATATGCTCTGCAAATCATCATTTCGTCACGATTCATAACATTTTACGTCATTCCCGGGCTAAATTAGAAAATCTCAAAATGCAACGAATACAAAGCTTCCATTTGCAAGCAACAAAATTAGGACATAATTGCTTGAGCTAGAGTGCAACTTTACTCCTTTGTAACACAATAACTTTTTCCCTGGAGATTTTGTCAGCTGCAGAAAAGACCTGATACAGCCAGCCGAAATTTCCGTTCCCGAAGGTAATGCGGAGCTAACAAAAATGTAGGAACTGGCTTATGGTGTTTCAATACTTTACTTCATAATTACATGTTTATATTTAGACTGCCTTTTATTATCGTTATTATGCCACTTTTATTACTTACAAATGTAAAAGACTTCATTTTCACGAGCTGTGCTCTTTCTCAGCTGAACTGCGGAGATATACTGAAGCGCCCGAGAAGATATAGAGTGAAAGTCATACGTGTGACATCAGTGTTACGCTGAGAATGGCATTAGGCTGCTCTCTCACCGAATCAATGAAAACATTCTCTTTGGTCCAATATCCTGGAGTATGTGTTGCTACAAATTTCGTAAAAATCAATCGTTCGGGGTAACATGTATCTGGGTTAAAGAGTTCATGATTTTCGATATTTTCGGAGAGGATTAATGAAAAAAGTTCAATAAAAATGTGAATCTTGCTTAATACCTCAAGAATAAAAATCGATGATGACATAATAAGCCTGTAAACCTGACCATGATTGTAGCTGCTGATTTCACGTAATATTGATGACGCATCGAGATGGATGTAACGTTTTATCGATTATTATTCACATCCCATTATTCATAATACATGAAGAAATACAATTAATGTTATACAATGGAAAGAAAATTTTTAGAAGTTTTCAAGGATTTCCAAGCGGTCTCAGAAAGCTAACATCGAGTTTTTATGTTTCTGGTCCGTACCTCAAGAATGTAATTACAGCACTGATAGACTGATTCGGTAATTAGGCAACATAGCACACCTTTAATTTCTCAGGAATACTGATAGGTAAATATTAAGTTTTTATATATAATCTTGAAGTATTTCGACGTATAATGTGTCGGAAACTGGCTGCTATAAATGAATTTAACCTCCTTGAGCTATCACACTTACAAAGAGAAAAATTCAAACAGAAATTCGAAATCTATTGACTTTTTCTTATTGAACATCCGATAGAATTAGCGCAACAACAAATAGAATTTTTCAGATTTTGTGTTGAATTTTTTTATGCGTGTAGACCCTCGTCTCCAACTAAATCCATTCGTTAACAATAAGTAATCATTTCTATCAGTGTACTAAGAATATTTCTGAGGAATCCTCCAGGTATATCCGAATGAGACTATAGAACATTCAAAATACATTCCAAGTACATATCAGTGGTACGTATCAGTATATCCCCGCTACGTACTGAACACGTTTACTGGGGTACAAGCGTAAAAATAGAAATTAAGTACATATTCGAGGTAATTGTGTTGACATCACGAAATTCTTAATTTGTGATTTTAATTTAGTTCACAAGCTTCGTTTAACCCTTTTTTATTTACCTGGTTCTTGAACAAGTTTTTCAATGCCGAACGCCATTCTTGTAGACAATGATCAGAAAAAGGAGAAAGAAACAATAGGGGACAGCGAGGATATGACAGTGATCATGTCGCTGAGTGATGTTTTATTGGGTTTTTTCGCCATCATAATACATTAATGACGGACGTCCGAATGATTGATCTTGACACCACTAACAGCTAAAATTTCAGATCATTACTTCCACGTCCACGGGTGCTAGAGAATGTACAGATGAGTTCAATAAAAAAAATAATAATAAAAATGGAAATCTCTCGAAGACTTTGTATGAACGGGTTGTAAGGAATTCTGGGAAATTCCTTGCGCCATCCAGAGACAACGGAAAGAATTTCCATATTCGTGAGTCAGACAAAGATCCAGAGCTTTAGTTCTATTAAATTGAAAAAAAAAGATCATTAACGTTGAGTAATTTTAGCGTCCGTAGAGACAGGGTCAGGGTTGACTGACTGACTTTACGGACGCTAAAACGCGATCAGGTCAGTCAGGGTTGACCAGATCGCGTTTCAGTGATTTCCGTTAATTTTAGGTAATTTATAATTTTATATTTTGTAGGTCCGTTCTAGTGAATTTTTGTTTAATTTTAGTTAGCTTTAATATTGTTTCTTTTTTTTTGTACCAATCGTGCGTTAGGGATTTCATAAATGTAACTATACGGGACCGATACAATTTTTCGCTCTCTGTCCATTTCACATCTTTTGGAAAGCTATAAATTCAGAAGTTTTCGTTAAAACAGTCCGTTGCGAGTCGTCAACCGATGACTAGCCTCATGCTCACCCTTGCCTCTGGCCAATGCTCATAGTGAGTCTATACCGTTGCTTCTAGTTGTGAAGCTTTCGCTTATGCGACTTATCTCGTTTTGAGAAATTAATTTATTTCTATGCCGTATTGTGCCAACAATTATTGTATTATTTAGCCGACAGGTTTTCGACTTGCGTATCGTCTAGAGTCATTGTGTATTATTTCTTTGGAAATTATGCTGGTTATATCGTTAGTGTTTAATACTTCGGCTTTGACGTTCGATTTCATTTGCGTATAGTTACGCCTAGTTTTCTTTGGATTTGCGACTCGTTAAGTTGTATTTTTTTTTGCTAATTATGCCATTCGTTCTCGAGCCTTCGTTTTGTGGATTAATTGTGCTTTTTTGCAATGGTTTTCAAAGTATTAGAGTGTTCGTGTCGCCTTAGTGAAATCAGATGTAGAAATTTTGTGCCGTTCTGGCCGTTTGGGACTNAGCTATCACACTTACAAAGAGAAAAATTCAAACAGAAATTCGAAATCTATTGACTTTTTCTTATTGAACATCCGATAGAATTAGCGCAACAACAAATAGAATTTTTCAGATTTTGTGTTGAATTTTTTTATGCGTGTAGACCCTCGTCTCCAACTAAATCCATTCGTTAACAATAAGTAATCATTTCTATCAGTGTACTAAGAATATTTCTGAGGAATCCTCCAGGTATATCCGAATGAGACTATAGAACATTCAAAATACATTCCAAGTACATATCAGTGGTACGTATCAGTATATCCCCGCTACGTACTGAACACGTTTACTGGGGTACAAGCGTAAAAATAGAAATTAAGTACATATTCGAGGTAATTGTGTTGACATCACGAAATTCTTAATTTGTGATTTTAATTTAGTTCACAAGCTTCGTTTAACCCTTTTTTATTTACCTGGTTCTTGAACAAGTTTTTCAATGCCGAACGCCATTCTTGTAGACAATGATCAGAAAAAGGAGAAAGAAACAATAGGGGACAGCGAGGATATGACAGTGATCATGTCGCTGAGTGATGTTTTATTGGGTTTTTTCGCCATCATAATACATTAATGACGGACGTCCGAATGATTGATCTTGACACCACTAACAGCTAAAATTTCAGATCATTACTTCCACGTCCACGGGTGCTAGAGAATGTACAGATGAGTTCAATAAAAAAAATAATAATAAAAATGGAAATCTCTCGAAGACTTTGTATGAACGGGTTGTAAGGAATTCTGGGAAATTCCTTGCGCCATCCAGAGACAACGGAAAGAATTTCCATATTCGTGAGTCAGACAAAGATCCAGAGCTTTAGTTCTATTAAATTGAAAAAAAAAGATCATTAACGTTGAGTAATTTTAGCGTCCGTAGAGACAGGGTCAGGGTTGACTGACTGACTTTACGGACGCTAAAACGCGATCAGGTCAGTCAGGGTTGACCAGATCGCGTTTCAGTGATTTCCGTTAATTTTAGGTAATTTATAATTTTATATTTTGTAGGTCCGTTCTAGTGAATTTTTGTTTAATTTTAGTTAGCTTTAATATTGTTTCTTTTTTTTTGTACCAATCGTGCGTTAGGGATTTCATAAATGTAACTATACGGGACCGATACAATTTTTCGCTCTCTGTCCATTTCACATCTTTTGGAAAGCTATAAATTCAGAAGTTTTCGTTAAAACAGTCCGTTGCGAGTCGTCAACCGATGACTAGCCTCATGCTCACCCTTGCCTCTGGCCAATGCTCATAGTGAGTCTATACCGTTGCTTCTAGTTGTGAAGCTTTCGCTTATGCGACTTATCTCGTTTTGAGAAATTAATTTATTTCTATGCCGTATTGTGCCAACAATTATTGTATTATTTAGCCGACAGGTTTTCGACTTGCGTATCGTCTAGAGTCATTGTGTATTATTTCTTTGGAAATTATGCTGGTTATATCGTTAGTGTTTAATACTTCGGCTTTGACGTTCGATTTCATTTGCGTATAGTTACGCCTAGTTTTCTTTGGATTTGCGACTCGTTAAGTTGTATTTTTTTTTGCTAATTATGCCATTCGTTCTCGAGCCTTCGTTTTGTGGATTAATTGTGCTTTTTTGCAATGGTTTTCAAAGTATTAGAGTGTTCGTGTCGCCTTAGTGAAATCAGATGTAGAAATTTTGTGCCGTTCTGGCCGTTTGGGACTCAAGGTCGAGTACCGTTGGGTATAGAGTGCCGTATTTGGCGTATTCGATATTTCGAGTATTGACTGCGTATGCTTCCGTTAAAGCGAATTCCAATTTATTGTTCGGAGGAATGCGAGTACAATTTCGATACGTATATCGCGCCTAATTCGGATTCCTTTCGGGTTTATTAATTGCGTTCAACTCGGGATTTGATCGGAATCAATTCATTCGGCAGGGATGATTGTTTATGCCGATCTTGGCCTAGTTACCGTGTTCTCAGTTTTTCGGTATTATTTTCCTTGCGTCTACCGTCACGTTTTCGGTCATTCTTATAGGGATAGAAGTAGAGAATTAATTTGATTTTGGCTCCATTTCTGGTTCTTTGTCTACTCAAAAATTTATTGAGTCAATTGTGCATTCTTTTATTGCCATTGTTAAATCTTGTATTTCGCTTTCTTAGGCGAAAATTTGTTCTTTTTATTGAGTTCAGTATTATATGGATTATTTAGTGTTGATTTCTTTTGCGGTGAATTTGAGTACATATCTTTTCTGTAAATTTACGAACAATATAGCCATATACATTTCAGCATTAAAATTCCGCTTTCGTGTTTCCTTTTTTGAGAATAAGAGCCCGATAACCTGTTTTCACCTCGACTTAGCCCTCTCTCCACAACCGACCCCCTGAGCAGCGCGAGCACCCTGTCACCTTTCCCTTGGCCCCTTAAGTTTAAGTTTTCTTTTGTGTTTTTGAATCTTGGGTTTTCGTTGTATTTTTACGCTTCAACCTAATTTCGGTTGGTTGTTTCCGTCGAGACAAAGAACAACTGGCGCCCACAATCATCGAGTTTCAGTTTTCTGACTTTACCAAGGGAGAAGGGCGAGATAACGTTCATTTTTGTCCTAGCAAAAATTTGACCACGTTACAGGGTATACATATTTTGATTGATCGCGGTAAAGGACATCGAAATGAATATTAAAAAAAAATATCCGTTGCCTAGTATTTGAGATATTGCATATAATAGTTTACAATTTAAGTTGAATATCTCAAGTTTAAAACCTGAATATTTCTTTTTTCAGTCACAAACGTTTGAAATATTGCTCATTAATTAATAATTAATTGTTAAAAGTTGAAGATTTCAAACGCTTTGAAATCGCTAATGACGTCATACAGGCGGTCGAGCGCTGGACCAATCACAGAATGGCTCGATCCGACCTTACCCAATCTTGAGGTGCGCCTCGGCCAATGGAGGATGACAACTCCCCACTCGCTTCTGCTTCGACCAATGAAGCGTTACCTGACTGTCTTCGTGACGTCATGAGCGAAAAATGGGCCACGAAAACGGCAATTGTTTGTCAATTAATTATCATAAGACAGCTAAGCAATATTTCTCTATATTTTTCGCGGTTTAGCTATTCATATATTAAGAGGAAGTTGTGAATAGGGGAATTAGAAAAAATTGAGCTTCATGGTCTCTATTGTACCAAAACTAGTTTTTATATAACCAAAATATCCCAAATTTATGATTTTCTAATAAAACATTGAGTTAACCCTGATTTTTTAACATTACTCCTTCAAATACAGCAGTCGTTAAGAATTAATTTGACAAAAAATAAAGGGAAATTGCTTGGAGTTTCGAATACTCTTTAAATTTCCAAAACGATAGAGCTATTTTAATCGATGTCCAGCTTTTTGAAGGTTCCCTCGACTCCGAAAAGATCAGTGGCAGTTTTTTGCTTTCCAGGACGCAGAGCCTCGTTAACTCGCATGGTCAGCTCGTCCTCCAGAAAGAAATCGCGATTTGCTTCGAGTCTTCTGATGTTTTTCGAGTGGAGTTCCATCAGAGGGCCAGCTTTACCTCCTGACTCATTTGGCAGAAGCTCGATGGGGAAAAATTTCGCTGCGCTTTCGCTGTTCGTATGAATGTGGAGCTGAAATTAATGTAAATGCTGAAATCGTAGGTAAATCCAGTATCTGACAGGTACAATAACATGACTGCAGATCATTCTGCACAGTAAAAAATCTTCTGTGGACTTCCTGGGAGACCGATTGGTGTGGAATTAACACCAGATTTTACATGCGATGTCCTATGGTGCGATGTAAGTTTAACATCGCAACTCCACACCGAAAATGGCGTGGACTCATTGGGCCACTGATCGGTGTCAATTTAACACCAAATTTTTTGCAGTATGTGGATCCTATTTACTAAAGATAAAAGAAACGTGAAGTTGTTTTATATCGAAATATCTCGAAATTGCCTGACCGCTAATCCTTAATTCTGATTGGTCAATATGTGATACGAAGTTATTCACAAAAAACACGCGGCATTTTCAAATTCTTCAGTGCCATAATTTCAAATTCTTCAGTGGTAATTTTTTTTTTCACGTCATATGTATATATAATATATATATTTCACATGTATATATATCATCGGTGAAATAAATAAATTCTGTTCTTTTATGGAGACCGATTATTTTAAAAAATTGAAGATAATTAATTGAAAATGAAAAATTCTTTATATATTCTTTTACTCTACGTAGCTATTCACATCAATCATTAGTCGAATTCTCTTTGATTCATTATCAATATTTATAAGGTATTCATGAGAAAATGAAATTCAATGAATTCCATTTCTTCATTTCAACAAATGAATAGATCATAGATCTTGTGTCTTCTAAAAGGAGAGATTGATAGAAATTTATCCGAGAACCTTCCTCGCAGAAAATTTTAATAACTACAAACAAAAATTCGTGAAGCAGATCGAAAGATCACGAAGAAAAAGTTTTCATTGCTAGGGACATGTCACTGATTTTTAGAAGTTTATACCTAATTGTTAGTGATTTGCGATTGTAAAATTCAGGGATTGCAAAATTGTGAAATTCAGCGATTTTGTCACCAATTTTCTATGACATCATCACGAATTTCTAGTGACATCGTCACTAACTTTGAGGGAATTATTTCTCATTTTCAGAGCAATGTCAGTGATTGTCAGGGACTCATCTGATAATTAGGATTATTCTATCGTCGCCGCCAGGAAAGAATAGACTTGGATCTGAGTGGTGGGGGACGTCAAGTCGGAGGTAATTTCGAGAGAGTGGCGGTATACAGAGAAAAAAAGTGGTTTAGCTTTAAAAAATAGTTTCTAGATTTTAGAAACTCCTGTTCTTAAGCTTTATCCTTGGTGGGATCATAAAAACTAACGAATTTGTGGATTGTTTTTGAGAAAACATATTTTCTAAAACCAATGTTGTTTCGTGAGCGGAAAAAATAGAATTTGGAGAAACAGAACTAAAAGGTCAGGAGAATAACCATATGTAGCCGTTTTGAAAAAAACTTGCCAAATTTTCTTAAAAAACAAAAACAAATATTTTTGTAATAAAACTGCGCCAAGGAAAATTTTTGTTTGATTCTTACTAAACAGTAAAATTTTTTGAAAAATACAAAGAAATTTAAAAAAAAACAAGTCAAAAATGTCAAATGAATGGCCATAAGGTACAACCAGATGTTTATGAGACAAATATTTCTAAATCGAATAAGAATGCGAAAAAAATTCTCTTTGAAATAAAAAATCAGTAGAAACCAACGTCCTTGGCGCGGAATTTTTCAACTTACTGTGGAGTATTTATTTCATGATTAGATTCTAATTGTTGTGTTTGAGAATATTCTATTTTATTCTCCCATAATATTGAATGCATAAAATAAAAATTCCTTTATTGAAAGAATATTCTGGAAAATCGAGCTAACAAAATGCTTCGATTTCCCAACACCAAACACGGCCTCATCCACGGAAATGTGATGAATATAGCTGAAATGATGCGAAATCAGCATCGAACCACCTGCACTCGGGCATTGACCGGGAACGCACGTACCAAAATTTTGCAAAATTACAGACAGTCTTGTTCTAGCATCGAAGTCGATCACATCAAGGGGCGAACTCCTCGCGAACTTTAGATACCTGATTCCGGAATCAGTCATTACCTCTGCCCGGCGTTTATCTATCCTTCCGGTTATCGGGAAGTCAAGTCGCAATTACGCACACCTTCGTAGTGGCTGATCCCGCGTATTGTTCAAATTAAATCATTTATACGGTACCGTCCGACGGGGTGCAAAATTACCTGTTACGGTCACAGCGTAAAATTGTGAGAAGAACTCAATCTACTAATTAAATCAAAACACATTTCGAAAGAGCAAGGACTAATAGTTTATTGGAAGCGAGTGACCAGAAAGAGGAGTGACGACAACCTGAAAGTGAGTAACCCGAATCATGTTAATCTGTCATCGAGGGTTTTTTCGCTTTGTCTCTCCTTAATCTCCTCAAAGCCTTTGTTAAAATTCAAATCAGTATTGTACAATATTACTGTTGTTTATATTTGTATTGATTATTGATCAAGGCATAAAATCGCAATATTTCCTTTGTTTAACATTCCTACTCTGAAATAAATTTAGTACAAATGAGTTAGTTAAAACTTTATTAGATTATCACCCTCGATTCCTTTTTATGAAACAGATGTGCCTAGCACTTTAAAGGTAAGGATCTGCACTAAATAAAAATAATTATTTTATTGCCCGGCCAGGAAAATTACTAGAATATTTAAGTAATAAATATCCTATCAATTTTCCATATCCAACATAATCCTCTACATTCTGATCCGCGCCAAGGACGTTGGTCCTGCTTCTACTTTTTTCCAATCCTTAGTCGATTTAGAAATATTTTTCTCATAGACATCTGATTGTGCCCAAAGGCCATTCATTTGGTATTTCTGACTTGGCTTTTTTTCATTTCTTTGTATTTTTCAAAAATACTGGCGTCTCCACGGTAATGAAAGATGAATGTGAGAGAAAATCGTAATGAAAAAGTCTTACGACTTCCATCAATTCCTTCTTCATGAAAGGTTTCATCATTCCCAAAATTATTTCCATAACTGGCATGGAGTTGATGAAGTGAAGGCCCTTCAGACGAACTGGAAGTCCCTCCTGCAAAAACGTGAGATACTTCTTGAGCCCCATTGGACTCAACCGACCGGCGTGACCAAAGGTGATGCCGTCTATGTCTACGGCGAAGATATGCCCCTTCATAGTCCCTTTCTCACGAATCCATAGATCGGTCACCATATTCCAGTACTTCATACAATCATTGTAGACGTAGTGCGCAGGGTCAAGATCGATGAAACGACCATAGGCTATTTGATATCCTTCGGCAGTTGTCCCCTCGAGCTGCATGAAAGCCCTGCCAATTAAAAGAGACTTTCGAATTCAGTTAGTCATCGATTCTTGAAGTTGAAAAATCCTCAAGAATTTTCTATTACATGTACTGTTATAACAATAAATCATTCATTCCTATCTCTACTGTATAGAATTCCACACTGCGATTCCAGGAGTGATCTAAAAATGTATAGCGATATCTACAATTTTTTCCATTCTTTGCCAATCTCTTTGAAAAATTCAGTACCTTTTTTCACGCGGTTTCGATATACATATTCATGAACAATATCAATACGTTTATTTATTTCTATTCAATTGTCTCTTTTGATTCGTGTTTCGTGTGTAGATCACTGGGGGGGGGGGGGGGGGGGANGGTGAAACGGAAGGAGAGTCTTAATGTTCTCGAGCCTTATATTTTCAAATAACTATATAAGTGTGCATTTGAACATTTTTTGAATATTGATTTTATTTATCTGATCGATTGATTTTTTTCTCATCACCTACGGGTGTCAAATAATTTTTATTTAAGGTTGTGTAACTTTTTTCGACTGTTTTTTTTTCAATTTTCATCGTAGATCGCTCTAAAAATTATCTGTAAAATAAGCCCATTATAATTGCAATTGACCATCTCAAACTTAAGATAAATTTTTTTGAATTTTACATGTTGTTAAATGCAGTTTCATCGTTTTTAATTTTTTAAAAAACAACCACTCGACATTTTTTATTAAAAAAAAATACAGTGTAGAAATAGTGTCAATCAATGTACAGAAAAAAAATGAAATTGATTGACCATTTCGTTTTTGAGAAATCATCATAGAAAGTTATTTTTTCCCCCCAATGGGCAGGGCAAATGAGTTCAGTATGCGAGCTATGACAACACGCAGCTTCGAGTCGGTGGCGCGGATGTATTTGAAATGGTCGGGTTATAATGAGTAGTTCAAAAATGCGGTAATTCAGTCTTTTTTTTTAATTGACTATCTATAAACACTGTAGTAATTAACAAACATGGAAAATGGTATAATAAAATAATAGATAGTCATGTGTTATTTGACTTACGACTCTCAAAAAAGAAAATAATTTTATCAATAACTTTTTTTGTTTTCGTAACTCGGGGTTTGTTTATGTCATTTCGTTCTGATAATAATTGCATCAATTTTCCTTTTTGTTTACTCGCTGTCAACAACACGACAAATGAGATACCAGAGTTGGCAATTTTTTTAAACATGTCAGATACTTGCTCTTTAAAACCATTAACGAAAGTAATAATGTCAATGCTTTTTCTTTGGTAATTTCCGATATGATACACTCCAAGTATGACTTTTTTGCAAGGAATAATTGTTTCTTGCGGTTATTAATTTCTCTGACAATGTTTGTAAAACTTCAACATCAAATAGTGCTGCATGGAAATTACCACTAATTTCCAGAAAATGTTCTGCTAACTTACCTAATTTCATCATGCTAGTACTTTTTCTTTCTGGGAACATTTTTTTAAATAGTGCTAAAGAGTCGGTGAACCGAACAGGTTAGGAGTCACACGAAGAGAGAGATACACTGCGTGGTTGCCACGATCGACACAAATCGGCGTTAGTTGTATGCGCACCATGCGCACGTATTCGTGTATGGTACATTCATGTATGCGTGAGCCGAGTCGAACTGTATATCAGCAAAAGTTTTTGTTTTAAACCGGGTTCTTCGTTTAGCGGAATATCAGCCCAAAGCGTGGAAAATTTCAAGTGTGACTCTCTCGCGACAACAACCTTAATGTTTTTCTAATTATTGAAATAATATTAAAATGCGTCTCGAGTTGGTAAACCTGTCGCGTTTTCTCTCCTCTGTTCCATGGTCTAACCCATACCTGTCCCATGATGCTCACTGATATTCGAATCACCCGCCTGCGTCATTGCCCCGGAAATTCATAATTTTCCGAATCAGTTGTTCAAATAACTTTCTTATGAAATCTGAAAAAACCTGAAACTTATACGTGTTCTCAGGAAAGATTTGATTTATTATCCACTAGTTTTTCTTCAATAGTACATTATTTTTTTGCGTGTCATGGAAATTTCCCTAATTGAGAGGCGTAACCTCGGAGGTTATAGCTGGAGAGGTTACAAAAACATTGAATTTCATTATTTTTCTTTCTTGAGATTGAGGTCTGAAAAAAATGTGCAAGAGTTTTTAATGACGTAGCATATTCAGACATTTCTCTCACGAATTTTCCAATTTTTTTCATTATTATGACTTTGTACACGAAACACCTTAACCCTAGATTGATCACCCTATGAGGGAAACCCCGCCGCGCATCGTTTTTCTTTAATTGCTAGCGCCGCCGCAGCTGCAAGCGACCGTGACGTTGATCCCCGTTCATTATGCTTTTTCTCGTTTTTTCCTTGTGTTTCTTTCAAAAATTAATGATTCATCATCGGCTTATTAAATTGAGTGTTAAGATTCATGGACACAATGCTTATCGGTTTATTACCTCTTCAATTTCAATATTTCAATAAGTGATTCACTAATTCTGAATTTCTGTGCTCACTGACTGATGTTCTAAGTCTAGTTATAATCAAAATTCTATTCTGAGTACGAAACAGTAATTATTAAAGTTCTCACAGCCCAGAATTGTTTTGTATTCGCCACTCCTTTTATTTTCTTTTACACCTTTACAAAAGCATTTAATTATTTTTGCTGGAAAAATTATATGACCGATTCTGCTGCTCCTTCGCTAATTCGGGGTATTTTCTTCGAATTCATAATCTTTCACACAACTTTATTCGACGATGCTATGAACTTAAAACTTTGATGAATCATCTGAAATTTTTTCAAATTCTCCATGAAATCCCGAAATTCTTGTAAATTTTGCTTTAAAAGCTTGGAAATTTTGGTGAAATTATGTTCTCAGATTTTTTAAATTATGATCTTCTTTCCCATTTGAATTAATTAGAATGCAGTAGTTGGGGTCACGTGACTACTTCGCATTAATTTTAGTTGAAAGATTCCGCCTTTTCCTATCAATTGTTCTCTCATGGTTTATTCAAAAACTCTCTAATATTTAAGAGATACTGAAAATTTTCTCTAATTTCCGAAAAAATCCAGCATTTTTCAGATTTTTTTCAGAAAATCTCATAATTGTTTTGAATTCTCTGGAAAATGCCCGAATCATCTTACATTCGGAAAAAACCGACAATTTTCTGATTTTTGAGGGAAGCTGTAAACTTCCTTACGGTTCCTATAAGTCATCCCCTATCCATCCTATTGGAGTTGGATTTTATAAAGAAGTTGAAACACATCATCACTAATTTCCAACAATCTTCTCTTAATGAGCATTAGGAATAGGATCTACACTCTAAAATTTTTATATTGCTATTGGTCTTAAGTTAAGACTCTTAACAGTTTCGGCTTTGCATTGTTATCTCAGTCAAGCTGAAAGGCTCCTTTTTCAAATTCGCCAGCGCCGCCGCGGCCGCGACACAGATGCCCTTTCATTATGTCTTTTAACATTTTTTTCCTTGTGTTTCTTTCAAAAATGAATGGTTCGTCGCCGTCTTATTACACTGAGTGCTAAGATTCATGAAAATAATGATTATCGGTTGATCGCCTGTTCAATCCCAATATTTCAAGAAGTGATTCACTAATTCTGAATTTCAGTGCTCTTTAAATGACGTTCTAACTATAATTATAATCAAAATTTAATTCAGAGTACAAAACAATAATTATTCAATTTCGCACAACCTAGAATTTTTTAGTCTTCGCCGCCCCCTTTAGTCTCCTTTACATCTTTACAACAGCATTCAACTATTTTTTTGGAAAAGTTATAAGGTCGATTCTGATGCTCTTTGGCTAATTCGGAGTATTTTCTCGTCATTCATGATTTTTCTTACAATTTTAGCATGAATCTGAATTTTTTTTTAATTCTCCATAAAATTCCGAAATTTTATTGAAGTTTTTTTGCAGAATGTTTGAGAAATTGTTGAGAAAATCCGATGAATTTCTAGAATTTTTCAAATTATGTTTCTCGTTCTCATTTCAATCAATCAGAGTGCAATTATTGGGAGCTCGTAACTCCTTCACATCAGTTTTATTTGGAAAATTTCACCTTTTCCTATCAATTGTTCTCCCATTACTTATTCAAAAATTCTCGAATATTTGCGAAGAACTCCGTATTCTCGAATTTTTGAATTTCTCAAATTTTTTCAGAAACCCTCATAATTGTTTTGAATTCTCCGGAAAACTGCTATATCATCTTACATCCGGAAAAAACTGGCAATCCTCTGAATATCGTCAGCTCATGTTTTCAGCACAAAATTGAAAAGAAAAACTTGAAATGACAGTGTTCCTTCTGCGCTATCCATTTCCGTGAACCTCCTTTTTATGTTAATGATTCACAAGGTATGACGCAAATATCGTCATTCTTGTTCTCTACAATTTTTTAATTCGGATATTATTATTATTATTTCAAAGTGAAACCATTGATCATGGTTTTCATTGTGGTGCATTCAAATTCTATAATCTCATAATTCTAGTTATTGATTCTAATCAACTTTGGAGAAAACCTTACTAAACGCAACATTAAGAAAGTTAAATAATTCTATTTTCGATTTGGACAATTATAATTGCTTCAGCATTCGAAACTATTGAGTAATTAGGTACAGAACGTTCATATGTTGAATGAGAATTCAAGTAACTTGGGAGATTTTATCTTCTTGCTGTTAAAAAATGTTGAATTGCAGTAAATTTTCAGTGAAATTTTACATTTCATGACTTTTCTTTCTCCAACTCCTAAAATCTACTATTAACCTGTCCTTAGAATTTGAATTCTTTTTTTCAACAGTACAACTACTATCTACTCATAATTATGAGGAAATATTTTAAAAGTAGGGAAAAAAATAGAGAGTCGACTTCTCGAAATAGACTAATGAAATGATTGGAAAATTGCGATTTTCAGAGAGCATGACTCTTTTTTATGAATGATTCCATCATAATTAATTTTTCACTGAAAGAACAATTTTTCCTGAATTGTAATGAATTTTTCTGCTTCCAGAATCGCACCAAAAATTAAATTGATGTGAAAAAAATTATATTTTTTGGAAGTATGAACCTGTTTAAAATCGGTCGATTATCGCGGGTCACTAAGCCCAGTTCAGCCCACTGGGAAGCAACAGTTCAGTGGCAGCACCTGACGGGCCGACTTGCTGTTACCGACCGACCGCCCACACGCAGCTACGCTACTCACCTCAATCTCACTTACTTTTCGGGAGTGATACCATTTGCCTCGTGCACGTGTATAATCGTTCCTTTTATTTTTCTCTCAATTATCATAAACCGTTCCTTTTTTTTTTTCACAACTGCCGTTCGGCTAAAAAAAAAGAGTTCAGCTGACTAATTATTTATCAGTGCTCAGCTCAGTTATTGTGTAATTTTTGTAAATCATTGTGACTATTGTGAACATTTAATTGAGTGACATTATATTACGTTGGTGGAAACCACGTGCGTGCACCACTTTTTTCGGTTTAACTCATCCGTCCCCGAAAATTCACCCACATCTCAGGCACCCCTCAAATATCCCACGAATTTCCAACCCGGCTACAAACATTTTGATCCTTCGAGCCGGATTGGTGGGATATTTTTCGGTTTTTTGGAGTTTTTTCACGTTTTCCGGGAGTGGAACAGAAGCGTCGCATCAGTGGTGCTCAATCGGCGGCTCCGCTCAACACTCGACACCAGACTCATCCGACGCAACGGTGCTCAACCTGCGGATCCAGATCAACTTAACTGCGGGCTTATTTGAATCGGAGTCAGCAATTGGCACTCACGGATTTCTCAACCACTGCAATCCGTCTCCTGCATTCACTGGTCCAGCTCAACTTAGTGCAATTGGCTAAGTAGCTTAATCTCTGTTTATATTCTGTTTATATTTTTCTCACGGGTTTTTTCTTTTTTCCTCGCCGAGCCACTCCTTTTTTATCTTCTCTCTTTTCTGCTCCTACCATGGCGTCGTTCGAGGTCACGGTTAACCTCAATACCTCCAGAGCCGCGTTTTTAGAGCGCATTCACAAGGAGCTGCTCACCGAAGAGGCCGCTCAATTCTCAATTTCGAATCTTCAATCCAGGCTGGTGATTCTCGAAAGCTATTGGGATAAGTTCGAGCTCACTCATGAGAAATTGGTTGCAGATAGTGGACAGGTTGAAAATGTCCTTGAAATACCGTACTTCAAGGACAAATGTTTTGACGGCACCATCGGTCATTATCATGAGGCGCGTGGAATCCTAAATCAGCTTATCGACCGACAGGGCGTTTTGTCCACCTCTTGTTGTTCAGTGGCACCTGGCTCAGCTCAACCGACGTACTCGAAGCGATACCTACCTGAGATCGCACTACCGAAGTTTTCAGGGAAGTACGCTGACTGGCGCTCGTTCCGGGACCTCTTTTCATCCTTGGTCGGCTCAAACCCGGATCTCTCTAACGTCGAGAAGATGCACTACCTGCGCACTAGCCTCTCCAACGAACCAGCTCAGATCATCGCGAACCTGACCATCTCGGATGATTCTTTTGCAACCGCCTGGGAACTCCTCTTGACTCGCTACGAGAACAAGCGACTACTCATCTCGGCGCACCTGGAGCAGCTCCTGAATCCTCCTGCCATGGCGTCTCATAACGCTAAGGACCTGAATGCCCTGATCACCGTTGTCTCCGAGGCGCTAAACGCGCTTGAAGCACTCGGGTCACCTGTATCCCACTGGGATCAGGTGATCATTTACATTGTTGCGCAACGGCTTAGCTCGAAACTCCGTGAAGCTTGGGAGATTAAAGTCGGGTCGTCCAACGATTATCCCAGCTTCACGGACTTCAAGGAATTCCTCACCGGAAGAGCACGTGCAATGGAGAGCATCGAAATCAACTCGCTCGCACGTGCTCCTGCATCAACTGTGAAGGCTCAGTCATCCAGCTCTAGTAAGAGCTCCCAGGCTCAAGTACGATCAACAGGCACCGCTCGCGTCAACACCGTCACCACTCAATCCAGTCGACAGGCTCGTCCAACTCCTGCCAAGCCCACTACTGGCAAGGTCACCTATCCGTGTTCAGCATGCGAAGGTGATCATTATCTATCGTCCTGCGCACTATTCAAGGCATTGACCTTAGCAGGTCGCCGTGAGGTAGTCGAGCGCCAGTACCTGTGCTTCAATTGCTTGGGACGTCACGGGGTGAAGGACTGTCGCTCACGGCTCAACTGTCAGATCTGTGATGGGCATCATCATTCACTGCTCCACTCAACATCATCGAGTCAGCCACAGCGTACCACACCAGCTGACCCGCAAAGCCACACTTCTGCGCCCAGCTCACCCCCAAGGAAAAAGCGTGCCAGTGGTTACGTACAATCATTCAAATGACTCTGCTCCGACCGTGTCAGTAACACCAGGGACATCTGAATGAAGCTCAACCGCTCAGAATGTCGATTCATGTTTAGCTCATCACACTGACTCAGGATCAGCTCAGGATTTCCGCCCTGGAGTTCTCCTGGTTACCAGCGTCGCCCTCTTGGTGTGTCCAGGACGACCAGCTCACCAGGTTCGTCTACTCATCGACCCAGGGTCGGAAGTTTCCATCGTCTCAGACCAGATCGTCCGTCAGCTTGGGCTGATGAATACCAGGACCTCACTCCGAATCTCGGGAATCGGAGACACGGCATCTGGCTTACAACTTCATTGTCCTCCTCCTCATCGGCTCAGCTCACATGGGATTATCTCCACGGACTTCAATTCGCTGATCCTGATTTCCTCAAACCAGCACGAATTGATATCCTTATTGGTGCTGACGTCTATGGCCAATGCATCCAATCTTGATATCATCACCAATGGTCCACAATCCCCGATGGCTCAGCTCACGTGCTTCTGTTGGATCGTCTTCGGGAATCGTCATGGAATCGCCAGGTCTTCTTGGCGACTCACGATCTTCCGCTCTTGCTTGCCTTCATCGGCTGTTCAGGAAATTCTCACGTGATGAGGTTTATCACCAGCTCTACTCGGACTTTCTCAAAAAGTACGAGGACCTCGACCACATGCATCGGGCTTCCGGATAGCTCCCATCATTAGCTCATCAACGTCAGCTCACGGGGGGGTGCACTGCTTCCAAGATGACCTTATCACATGAAGCTGCGGCTTCAAGAGGGTCGAGGGTCTCGGATGGTCTGCATTCCCCTCGGGCTCATGTTGCTCCGGAGTATTACTTCCCTCATGACGGAGTTCTCAAGGCAAGCAGTGAGACGACGAAGCTCAAGGTTGTTTTCAATGCATGGCCACCTTAGCGGTCCATCTCGAGGTCATGTCAGACTATTCAGCTCACTAAAGAGACCATTATTGGGACTCCTTGATCTTCTCTTTATGTTACAGCTCACCATCATAGGCCATCTCATCAGACAACTACAGTTGCTGATCGTGGGGGAGAATGTTTAAAATCGGTCGATTATCGCGGGTCACTACGCCCAGTTCAGCCCACTGGGAGAGCAACAGTTCAGTGGCAGCACCTGACGGGCCAACTTGCTGTTACCGACCGGCCCTCCACACGCATACCGTTTGCCTCGTGCACGTACATAACCGTTCCTTTTCTCTTTTGTTCTCTCAATTATCGTATGGCTCAAAAAAAAAGTTCAGCTCACAAATTATTTATCAGTACTCAGTTATTGTGTAACTTTTGTGAATCATTGTAACTATTGTAAACATTTAATTGAGTAACATTATATTACACTTGTGGAAACCACGTGCGTGCATCATTTCTTTCGGTCTAACTCATTCATCCCCGAAAATCCACCCACATCTCAGGCACCCCTCAAATATCTCACCAATTTCGAACCCGGCTACAAACAGAACCATTCTATTATTCATTCCTAAGAAGAGAATTTGGAAAAAGCAAGTATTTATGGAATTTTGTTCGAAAGCCGCTAATTATGCACCCTTTGTTTTGGAGTTTTTTCTAGCCAATTCAATTGATAAATTAGATGATTGAAACTGTTTGAATAAAAAATTTTCCGACTTTTTTAATTTCATGGAGCAATTTCAATATTCTTGGATTTTGTGGTATAGGTATTGATTTCATCACATAAAGCCTCTAAAAACTAAAATTGAATAGAAAAATTGAAATCAAATTATTTATGTAAGTTACAAATTTGGTCTGAATCATTTAGAAAAACATGAGATTCATTTTACTACCAACTGAAAGCAATAAAATCGTTCCATTTTTACATTTCATAATTTTTGCTTCCGAAGGAAAGCATTGTATTTGTCGAATCCGAAAATTCCTGTTTTTGTATCAGGATAACTACTTTTGACCTCAGGAGTTCGAATATGCAATTTTTACATCATGTCCGGATGTATATATGTATGTATGGGTGTTTTGTGTATAAGTGACCGACTGTTTTTCGACGATAACTGAAAAAAATAATTGTTTAAATGACTCTAATTATGATTTAAAATATTCTTTCCAATGACATCTTAACCAAGTTCGATCATGACATTGATTACATTATCTGTTGTTGAAAAAAATTATTTTGAAACCAATATTTTTGGGGCAATGTTGGCTATCAACATTGAGGCAATGTCAATAAATTGAATACAATAAATCATTGCATTCAATTTAAAATCCATCGTTATAGAAATTCGGAAGCGAATTGCTAATTTATGAAAATGAATGAAATTGTCCATGACCCGACGTTGCCCCAAAGTAGCTAAACGCGCCCGGGCAGTATAGATTGAATTCGGCAACGTTAAAGGTGACCGCCCATGGAACAAAATCTACACGGAGACGCAAAATTGGCGGGAAAATCTTGTGCTCTTATTGCTTATACAGATGCGTCTTCGTGTAAATTCTATTTCATAGGCATTCACCCTAAAACCTAAATAACACGGTAGGGAATCCCCGCGGAGGTGACCAATCGCAGGGTCGCGTTTAGTGATCAGACTAGGGTTAAAAGGGTATGCCAATAACTTATTCTCTCTGCACTCACGCAGTATTGAACGCCTGGCGAAGTTCCTTCACTCCAAAGGGATCTCGATTATTGAAGAACTCCGGTATGTGAGATCTAAGTGTATAATATGTTTCGATTGTGTTCTTCGTTGGTTCCATTCGATAATAATTGCTGTGTAGAAATACCGCTAAATCAGTGTCCGATATTTTTGGCAAATGCGGCTGCTTTGAGCACCACTCTCGCAGCGCCTGAATATCTGATTCCTTCAGCTCAGATTCGCGCTTCAGGAGCTCTTCGAAGGACACTGAAGGTACCACTGCCATTTTGTATTGAATGTCTCTCCTCAATACGTCCTATCTTGAATTTTGTGCGAACTGATCGGGTATGTGATCAGTGGTTCAATTCCCTTGGTTATTGATTGAGTTCCCTCTCTTGAAAAAGTAGATTACAAAATTATCGACAAATACTAAAAAACATTCATGGTCGTCACGACGAACTGTTTTTATTTCTCTTCGCAGTTTATCCGCGAAATGTGCAACAGGAGTTCATACTTTACACTGACGGAAAACTAAGCTATTCGGACGGACTAAGATAGTCGTTTTCCGGAGAGTAGAACACGCACAGCTCCTGAACTGGCGTGACTATGGGCTAAACAATGACATTACAGTCACGACAGGTATAATTAATTTTCTGTATCCATTACAACCAGCTATCTGGCTACATTCTTCACGATTCTATTATTATCAACAATGCATTCTTCACGTTTCTATTCATTATTGATAAGAATGAAAACGTGAAAACTGCAGCTTTGCAACATGATAATTCATCGTAGGTTATTAGGTGAAACTAAATGAATGTGACTTGGTCAATTTAAAGGGTGACAGAATGCTGATCATTTTCCACATTTTTGAACGAATTTCCTGCCGAAAGTTATCAATATTTTTACAAATCGAAGCACATTAATCTCCAGGAAGTGATGATGAAGATCAATGTGTTTTGGGTTCAAAAAATATTAATAAGTTTAAGCAGGAAATTTGTTTAAAAATTTCGAGGAAACGGTGGCCATTAGTTGCCCCTTCATTCTATTATTTCAGCTTTTTGAGGTTCACGTATTAGCTGTGTCCACATCGCGAACTCTGGGTAACGCTAAACGCTGGTATGGTTTGTTATTAAATTGCCATACCCTGCGTTGTTGAATTTAATTCATATTCGAATTTACAATTTTAAAAATTATATACCCCTTGAAGGGAGGAACTGGTAGGGAGGTCCCGTACAACTACCTGAGCACCCATAATTATTACATAAGGTATCTCAAAAAATTTAACCCCTCACGTACGGGGCCTTTCTGATAACAAGTCTACCACACGCTTGATACTCTTCGCATCCCATATTTTCTGATAGAGGAAAAATTATAAATAAAATATATAATTAAAGCTACAGTATTCACCTTCCCAATGGTATTAGTCCGATTGTATTATCTGCCATAGTTTCGGAAATATTCAATTTTGAAAAGAGCCGTGCGTTTTTGCATGGGTCGGTATAACATACAGAGCCCGTACGTGAGGGGTTACATTCATATTAGCTACCCAAGTCTTTCAGAAATCAAAGTCACGAATTTTTAGTTTCACCGTTTACTACACATCTTTTGAAGTTTTCATTATCAAGCATTTTTGCGGATGTGAGTAAGGGAATTCATAAATTTCATAAAATTTCTCTGCTAAAAACGTGACCATTGACAGCGCTATGAGAACTTCACTACACGGAGAAACAATTACTTGGATGACTTTAGAAGGTCATTTTAGAATGAAGTGCCATTTTTTTGAGCTAAGGAAATTACACTTCAAAAATGTATTTTCATGATTTGTCATAAAGCCCCTTACTTGCTTCATCTCTCCCTCATTATACTATGTTAGCATTAGGTAATGTTTCACAATATGTTAAGTGTTGGTGATTTGGAAAAAAATAGAATTCTGGAACGGAGAAGAGCGAAGCCGGTGGTAAGGAAGTTCAGTTTTGCTGTTGACACTGTACTGCGACTTTACATAAATAATGTGGTCATTTATGGATGTGCTTTTTTCTTGTACGTCAGTCATTATGTAATTTCTCTATATTTTTTTCTCTCGTATACCCTTTCGGGGTTTTACGTTCTGTTCCCATCCAACCCCCGAACCCACTGTACCGCATTCGCCGAGGGATAAGGGAAAACTTCATTTGAGGGAAAAACCTGCCCAGGTACAGTCGTCTCTTGCGAGACTCCCGCTCGACAAATCAAACCGTGAGATTTAGAGTGTCACAAATTTCACTCACACATGGGGGGGGGGACCTTTCGAAATTCAATATATGTAGACAGAGCGGGGGAGTAAAATTGTCCAAAAAATTAATTTACATAATAGACAGGGCTTCCTCGTCTTGGCTCGTCACTACAGAACTATTCTCTGCTTTTGTCTCGTCTTGAATTGCGAGAGATCTCCCTTCTCGCATCAGAAACATCCCATGCAGGGAGACATTCTTGATGGGTAAAATCAAATGTTCAGTATTTATTTCTCAAATTTCCCGTTTTTTTATTCATAAAGCAATAACAAAATCCATATAATTAATAGAAAATTCTTAAATCCATTGAAATTATTTTCAATCTATGTCCAGCTTCTTGAAGCTCCCCTCGACTCCAAAAAGATCAGTGGCAGTCTTTTGCTTTCCAGGGCGCAAAGCCTCATTGACTCGCATAGTCTGCTCGTCCTCCAGGAAAAACTCGCGATTAGCCTCGAGTCGTTTAATATTTTCCGCGTGGAGTTCCATAATAGGACCAGCTTTACCTCCTGATTCGTTCGGCAGTAGTTCAGTAGGAAAGAATTTCTCAACGGTATCGTTAGTCGTATGGATGTGGAGCTGAAATTAATGTAAATGATCAAATCATAAATCAATGCCGTAAGTCGAGTGGTGGAAGGAGACGAATCCATGACATAAAGATTCGCCAATTCCTCCGGCTTGGCGCAGTGGGTAAGTTCGTTGCCTCACATGCGACAGGTTCCGAGTTCAAATCCCGGCCGGGTAGAATGGGGCGATCTAACCATTTAAAGTCTTGATCATCATCGCCGTATACCCTAACCGGGTGGAAGCGATGTAAAATAACGATAACAAAAAAAAAAACAGAAAGGGATTTGTAAGAATTAATGAAAAAACTTTTCTCGAATGGAAATTTGTGGACCCGAAAAAGCTTTTTTTGTCTCAGAGATATTACGTAATAATAGTCGCATAAAATTTTTAGTCTCCAATTCTTAATTTTCATCATTCATTCTATGTGTTCTATGGAAAGACAAGGATAGAAATCGACTTTATGGGTATTCTTTCAATATTCGAAAAAATATATCGATTTTAAAACTTTCCGGAGATATTGAAAAATTAAATTTTTCATTTCGTTCCACGGTGTTTTGCATTTTTTCATTTCGTCTCGTTAAAATGAGATCCTAAAACTTGAAACTATTCATATTCTTTCCATATTTCAAGAAAAAACTGTAAATACAAGTTTCCACCGACACAAATGAAGAAAACCAAATTTCTACATTTTCTAGCTGATTATCCTTCTTAAAAAATTTTCAGTCTCCAATTCGGGATTTTTGCTATTCAATGCCATTCATTACATTCATCATTCTAATCAAAAGACAAGGATAGAAATCGAATGATGAGTATTCTTTCCTCATTCGAAATAGTATATTATGTCATCAGGCGATAAAAGCATTATCTGGCGAATGTGATTATAATGCTTTTATCGCCGTATGACACGATATTTTATGTCGTTGGGCCCGAAAACCACGATCTAACCGAGCGAAGCGAGGTTAGAATCGCAGTTTATCGGGCCTAATGACATAAAGATATTTCATGGGGTTATTCGTCGGTAGGGCCGTGAAAGGTGCAATTTTACAGTTGCCAAAAATATATATATCAAGAATAAGAATGAATCGAATTAACTTAAAGTAGCTCTACCCTCCGACCGGGCTACGCTGTACTTTTGGATATTTTCAGTTTTTTAATTTTTCAACTAAATTGTATGGAAAAAATTTGAAAAAATTCATACCCAGTCAGTATTATCTAAAAAAATTCAGATTTTAATCTTTGATTACAATGGAAATGTTGATTTTCACATAAGACACTGGGTTAAATCCTGATTTTTAAACATTTCTTCTTTGAAAAACCAAAACGATAATTAAATTGAGAAAAAAATTTGAATTCCGAATCTAATCGAGTTTTCTGCAATTTTTTTGCAGTTTTCAATAATCTTTGAATTTACCGTAAGGGTAGAGCTACTTTAATCTAATCCTGAAGATGGAAAAGGCGAAAAAACTCAAATAAAATAATATGGTATAAACTAATCTAGCAACGAATGCGAAGCGCCCGTTCGCTAGTTGAAGATTATTGCTGCGATTTGCATTCATTCCTTATTGTTGGAATCTTCTAGTAGTTATCAATTTAAGTCATGATACAGTTAGATTTTCGAAAAATGGATAAACATCTGGAAACTATCATCCTTACTATTTCTAGCAATTCCTTCTTCATGAAAGGTTTCATCATCCCCAGAATGACTTCCATAACTGGCATAGAGTGAAGGAAGTGAAGTCCCTTCAGACGCACCGGAAGTCCTTCCTGCAAGAACGTAAGGTACTTCTTTAGGCCCATAGGACTCAATCTCCCGGCGTGACCGAAAGTGACCCCCGCGATGTCTATGACAAAGATATGCCCCTTCATGGTCCCCTTCTCGCGAATCCATAAGTCAGTAACCATGTTCCATAATTTCATACAGTCATTGTAGACGTAGTGGGAAGCGTCAAAGTCAATCAGACGGCCGAAGGCTATCTCGTAGCCTTCCGGAGTTTGTCCTTCAAGTCGCATGTAAGCTCTGTAAATTAGAAAGAAATTAATTTCCAAATGCATTTTGTGATTCATCATGTACCGTCAATGTGCCAGTAACTGCCACGGTTTCTGCCCCCCCCCATCGATTTTTTTTTTAATGGAAAGAATTTAAAATTGACTGAAGAAAAGTAAACAAATCGTCTTAGTGCAAAGGGAATTTTATACTCCTTCAGCCATAGGAAAAAGAATGATCGTAATTGCGTAATTACAAATATCCAAAATTGAGTAACAAAATGTCTGCGATTGGTGAAAAGTAGAACTTATTGGGATATTCCCCCCCCCCAATTACAATTTGACACCAATCCATAATAGTGGGAGAATGCTATTCAATAATATCACTATTGCGCGCTTTTTTTGTACCCGGCATTAACTTGTACCGCAAACAACAATTACAATAATAATAATTATCGTTATTTTTGTTCGGCCTTGCGGTCTCGGGAGTTTAATAAATCAAAGAATAATTCAGTGGCGAAGTAGGAAAATGGTTTAAGTCGACTTATCTCCCAGTTAAGTTTTTGATGAATATTCGCGAATGTAAGGGAGACAGAAATTTTCGTGTCCACATTTGTTGTAGCACTCGATCAGCTACACAAAAAAGGTTATACCAAAAATTTTACCATCTCCCATAGATTCCGAGATATTCATTGAAAACTGGTCAATAGTCAAAATTGACTTGTACCGTTTTACCGCTTCGCTACTGAATCATTTTGTTAAAAAATCCGACATTTAGACCCAATCTGCAGGTCCTCTTTAGGGCTAAAACAACACAGCAAAAACGAATGTCTGAATTTCAAACATGAATTAAGATGTTTGGGCACATGTTCGTCTGAATTTCCGACACATTTTCATTTTATTCAGACGTTTTTTAGCGCCTGAAAAATGTCTACAAAAGGTGTGTGAAATTCAGACATTCGTTTTTACTGTGAAAACACGATAATGAGTTCATCACGGTCGACAAACACTTCTAACTTAAATAATAATAATAATAATAATAATAATAATAATAATAGGGTGGCAATAACTGGAACATGGCGTTCCCAGGTGGCAGAAACTGGCACATGGTGGAGGTCTTCTATTTTTCAAGTAATAATTTATTTAATCATTCATTCACGGAAGTATCAATTTCAAATAATAAAAAAAGTCTTAAATATCGACTTGCACATCCAAAAAAATTTGATACAAAAACCTTACGAATTCGTTAGACAATTCTATTGGATTTCTATTGAACTCTCTATTCTCTCTATCAAGTAATGTAATATGATGTCTATGTATATTTTTTACGTACTGTAATCTTTTGTTTTCAGTAATTGTAAAAAAAGAGAAATTCATTTCTTACTGTAATAACAAAATATATACTTCTATAAAAAATATATATATAAAATAGTATATACGTATACAGTACATAATACATCCCTAAAAATAAAAAAGAATGCAAAAAGCAAAAGAGAAACGTAGAAGAAGATGAAGAGGATTATCACGATTCGGAATAAATTATCCATCAATTAAATTCTCATTGTAAAAAACTTTGTTGAAACCATTCGTTTTTCGCATTAGTATTGGGATAAAAATTAATAAAAGTAAGAACCTTTACGGTTTCATTAATCTGGTATCCATGGGAAACAATACGCGCCCTGTTCTGGTTCTGTGACATTTTTTCGGGCGAGTGATGCTTTGATTTGACGAATTACGAAAAAAAATATAATCATTTAATTCTCATTAACGATACGGAAAGTTTCTCGTGGCATTAACTGAAACATGGTATTGAAAAATTTCAAAACGATGCTTTCCCTGATGAATCAAACCCAGAGTTAACTCTGGGCTCATGGAAATTTCCCAGAGTTTCTCTCTTTCTTCGCTGGGTTTTTTCCATAAATCCAGAGTTGACCCAGAGTTAACTCTGGGCTCATGGAAATTTCCCAGAGTTTCTCTCTTTCTTCGCTGGGTTTTTTCCATAAATCCAGAGTTGACCCAGAGTTAACTCTGGGATTGATCTATCAGGTTTATTGCAACAATAACTTATTCATCCCAAACTCACGCAGTGTTGAAAGCCTGACGAAGTTCCTTTACTGCGAATGGATCTCGATTATTGAAGAACTCTGGTAGATGGGTGCGAATCGTGTAATATGTTTCGATTGTGTTCTTCGTTGGTTCCATTCGATAGTAATTGCTGTGCAGAAATACCGCTAAATCAGTGTCCGAAATTTTTGGCAAATGCGGCTGCTTCAAGCACCATTCCCGTAGCGCTTGAATATTAGACTCCGTGAGCTCAGGTTCGCGTTTCAGGAGTTCTTCGAAGGGCACTGGAGGTACCACTGCCATTTCTTCTTTATTGCCTTCCTTTAATATTTTCGATGTTAAGTTTTATTTTACTGATTATGTATTGGATCAAAAACCAATGATCTTTATTCGCTAATGATGTTGGTTATTGATAGAGTTTCCTCTTCCGGGGAATTCGATCAGGAAATTAATAATGAATGTTGGACAAACTGCTTTCTTCCTTGTTTATAAACGAACTGTACGGCGGGAGTTCATTCGTTATACTGATTGATAAATGAGCTCTTCGTATGAATCGAGATAGTCATTTTCCGAAGAGCAGAACACGCAGAGCTCTTAAATTGTCGTGACTATGCGCTAAAGAATGACGTTGCAGTCACGATAGGTATAATTCATGATCAGTCTGTATTATAAGCTGTTCTCTATTTTTCACATTTTTATCTATTATATCATGCATTCTGTGCATTTTCTTGGCCACTTTGGTGGACGTTAGACAGGAATCAATTAATTTGATGCCATCTTTTGCTCGACATTACTTGTGTTGGTAGGTGAGCAGTTCACTTACGGAACACTCAAGTCATGCAATACGTTATAGATGTACAAATTTAATGCAATATAAAGGAATTGAAATACATATATGAGAATGACAAAACTCTCTTCATCTTTAAAATTCTAAAAATTATTGTTTTTATGGTTAAATTATTGAAACTAATTATACAAGTCATGACCCGACGGCGATGACTGTGTGGTTAGATACTTTTTTGGGCATTTTAGTTGTAAACAAATACTGTTAGCATATAATAATGCGCATAATTAGTTATTAATAGGTATATTTTTGATAATCAAATAGAGAAACACAATCTCAATATCCAGTTTAAACTCGAGAGCCGCTAATTGGCCATAAGTTTATTTAAAAAACAATATTTACATAATTTTTTACACTAGTTTTTATACATGTACGTACTGTATATAATTGATTGTTGACTGAATAAAAACTCTGTTAAAAAAAATGGCTGTGTGGTTAGAATGTGGGATTGGCATGCGGGAGACCCGAATTCGATTCCCGGTTGGGGGTATATTTGTGACACTCTAAATCTCACTGTTTCATTGTTGAACGGAAGTCTCGCAAGAGACGACTGTACCTGGGTAGGTTTTTCCCTCAAATGGGGTTTTACCTTTTCCTTCGGCGAATGCGGTACAGGGGGTTGAGGGGTGGGAAGGGAACAAATCGTAAAAACCCGACAGGGTATACGAGAGAAAATTTTTTTATATAGGTCATGAAGATAATAATTATCTCATTCTTTTATTTACCCTGATTATTAGTGGGCTTAGCCCTCTGTTTGTTCCGTTCGCCAACCTCTCACGGTTGATGGGGTGCGACCGATTAGGAGTTATTCCCAGGTAGGAAATGCCAGTGTTGGAAAAACGGGCCAAGTCTGGAACAAGCTTGAGGTTGCCAGGTCTGGGCGGCCAAGATTGGACCGAGGTTCGACCATGCCTGGGGACTACCAGCAGTGGCCCGGGGCTTGGTCATTGGGCTCCAGCCATTGCTGTAATTGTAAGGGTTAAGTCGGAAGGGCAATGATGGAAAGGGGCAAAAAAATCATAAGGCTGACATTGTGAAGGTTGAACAGTAAGGGTGGAATCTTGAGGGTAAAATTTTAAGGGTGTAATCGTAACAAAATGGTGACATTGTAGGTATTGAAGTCATATGTTATTCGCTCAGTATTACGAAAAAAGAAGAATCGTCATTCAACATTAATCATCACTGTTATAATTATTATTGTAATTAATAATTATTATTATTGTTATTCATTATTGAATTAATTTACCAATTAAACTATAGTTGAATCACTTAATATCTCTATCTACTGAATAATAAAACGTTCAAGTCGAAAAAAACCGAGATGGAATTAATATGGACGATTTAAAGTAGAGGTTTTCCGAATTGCGTGGTAGACTAGTGGTTAGGGCGTCGGATTAGTAGTCGTGAGGTCGTGGGTTCGGGCCCACGTTAAGGGGGTAATATTTTAAGTTAACAAAATCGGTTTTTCAGCGATGATTGCGTTAGGGTTTGGTAGGTAGGGCACAATCAATACTAAAAATCATTCTAAAAAAAGGTAATTATTTTGTTTTTGTTATTATTGATAATTGCCATGAATAGTTTGGCAGCCAGCGCGGCACCAGTCGCATGCCGGTATTGATTTTTTTTCCTCGTTGAACCTNGAATTGAGCCTGGCCAACCACTGCCAGCCAACGCTGAGCCGAGATGGGCGCCCAGACCTGGCCCGGTGTTATCATTCCAGGTTCGAACCAAGTCCGGCGCGGTCCCGGTTGAGGAACGGGCCCCGAAGTTCGGCAGGCCGGACAACCAGGCGTGGGCCAAGCCCGGCCCGTTCGTTTTTTCCTACATGGGAATTAGGCAACTCTCTCATCACGCGCCTTATTAACCCTCCTGAACTAGCTCAATGAGCAAAGCGCCCCCTTTTCTCGATTTTTTCTTGTTGCATGCAAAATTATGTATGAAAAAATTTGTAAAAATTACAATGCCTAGTTCAAACCCTCTAGAATGGACTGGTAAGATTCCTATCCCTTGAAAACCCCATAAATACCATGAAAAATAATAATTTAGTGAGACTGGTACGGAAAAACGGCGCCTCGCCGCCCGGAGCCAGTGGACTCATGTAGTCAGTTTTTAGCCGTGCTGTTGTCACGTCGTTCGTTTCAGTTCAGACATACTAGGAACTTCAACATCTCTATTACGTTCCGTGTTTGGCGTCTCATAAAAAACGCGAATTAATTTTTTTAGAGCATAAATGGTGTTTAATTCGAGAAAAATGTGTGCAGTGTAGATTTTTATTCACGTATAGGGCTCCAATGTGGCAACACAGAGCCAGTGAACTCGGATGGGCACCGAACCCCAGTTCAGGAGGGTTAAGAATGCTGGTAGAATCGTGCGCCTACTGACGGGTTAAGGTGATTCAATAAACGTCTTATATTTTTGGAATGCGTAATCAACGTTTCCATATTTATTAATAATAATCATTCATGATAAAAAGAGAAAACAGATCGGCAATACTAAGGTCGCGGAAATGGACTGCGGCGACGTGGCCGCGCCACATGGTGAGGATTTCGGCGACGACGCGGAGGCAGCTAATATCACAGTATCTCTCGCAATTTATACTAGGATTTTCGGTTCAGGGTACACCAAGGTTACAAGGGCCAAGAGGGTCAAAATCCTTCATTTGATTATAAGTTTATTTGATGTTACACAAAGCGGTAACAGAGGGGACCTTAGTGGCCCTGCAGACCCTCGGGATCTTTAGGATCAAAAGGGCTGCAAGGGTCTCAGGATACACCAAGGTTCAAGGGCCAAGGGGGTCAAAATCCCCTATTTGATTATGAGTTTTTTTTATTGTAAAACAACACGTAGAATGTACACTTTTCCAATATTATTGTTGATGTTGGAAAGTCTCTCCAAAGCGCCTCAAAGCTACTCAGGACTTATTATTTCCAATATTACGACGAATTTACTTCATCATGATCAATAGTACGCAAAAGTGAGGAACGGAATTTAGGCGTTTCCTACACTTTAGAAAAGAATTAATTAAAGAAACTCATTTTAAAACATGTCAAAATAGTTGATGGCACACTATTATAGACCGTCAAACTTGATCATGATTGTGGCTGATGATTTACACAAAATATTGATGAGGCATCGAGAGAAAAGTCTTTTATTGTATGGATTGCAACACTGCATTCGCATTTTTGTCATTATTATAAATCTAATAAAAAATCAATCTATGATCAGTGGCTGTTGAATAACTTCAACTGTGATTGAGAGAACAGGTTGTAAATTCATTTAGAAAAGCTTTAATCAATGTCTAGCTTCTTGAAGCTTCCCTCTACTCCGAACAGATCGGTGGCAGTCTTTTGCTTTCCAACGCGCAGGGTTTCGTCGACGCGCATGGTCTGCTCGTCCTCCAGAAACCAATCCCGATTGGCCTCGAGTTTCTTGATATTGTCCATGTGTAGTTCCATCACAGAACCGGCTTTACCTCCTGATTCATTAGGCAGAAGGTCGACAGGGAAAAATTTCTCTACAGTGTCGTTGGTGGTATGCACGTGGAGCTAGAATTGATGAAAAAGATAGAATAATGATTCAAAGCAATAATTCGGGTGGTAGAATGGATACTTAAGTGCAGGATGAGGATTCGTAAAAAAATTATTTTTCATAGAAAACGTTGAGCTTCCAAAAAAATATGTCAACGTTTTCTTCTGGAGCTACTAATTTTTGGGATTTTTATATGTGGACGTGCCCATGAAGAGAGCTCACTTTGTCACGTATGAAAAAATCCTATAGGATTTTCTATAGCATTTCCTATAGGATTTTCTATAGGAAATCATATGGAGAATTCGAACATTTCCTATAGGATTTTCCGGATAGGTTTTCCTATAGGATTTCATATGAGATTTTTTAGTTACATGGGGGTTATATAGGGATTATATGGGGGTCATATGAAGGTCATTTGATCCTCATGAGCCTCCTATGACCTTTGTATGACCCTCGTATGTCCCCATGTAACCCTCATGTGACTTTTATATAACCCACATGTGGCCCTTATCTGACTCCCACATGATCCCCATATGACCCCCACTTGATCTTCATATGACCTCCATATGACGCGTATATGATCCTTATATGACCCCCATATAAGGATCTCTTTTGACCCTCATTTTGAGCTTTATGACCCTAAATTTCATAGGAAATCCTATTGAAAATCTTATAGAATATCCTATAAGAAATCCTATAGGAAATCCTATCTTAAAAATCCTACAGAAAATGTTCGAATTCGCCATAGGATTTCTTATAGGATATCCTATGGGAAATTCTATAGTATTTTTTCATACTTGGTAGCTTCTAGTTTCTGAGATATTTGCGTTTTCGTCTGCGCAACTCCCAATTTACAGAGGAAAAACGTTCTTGGTTTCCAATAACAGTCTCTGAATTTCTCTGATCCTTGATACTTTATTCCAGAGATAAAAAGTACTCGATTTCATTAAAATTTCTAGTTATTAGCAATTTTTAGCGAAAATCCAGTATCCCATGGTATTTAAATCAAGGCACTTTGGTTCTCAAATACAGTACTTTGAGTTCTTAAAATAGAAACCGTTGGGTACTCAAATGAAGATCTGGGATACTAAAATCAAGAACCCTGGGGTTCTAAAAAAATTAAATCAAGAATATCCAAGTAGTTCGGGCAATTTTTGGGGGGGAAATGTTTTTTCAGAGTTTACAGAATGGATCAAGAGTATTTTTTAAGAGTTAAGTTTAAGTCTTAATTTCCAAACATGTTTTTGAAGAAATCATTTTCAGAATCCAGGGTTCTTGATTTCAGTACCATGGTTCTGGATTTTCGTACATTACTGGGAACCAAAAACTCTTCTCTGTTAAACCAATCTTTAATTATTTTTGTGATGTTCCCTAGCGCCGTCATTTTTGTTTCCGAGTTTTATGAGGGTCATTTTTTGGGATTAAAATCTATGGAATGTTATCAATATTATCGAAGTATAAATAACTTCACGCAGACAAAGTGGAGCCTCTTCATATAGACGTCCACATATGAAGATCCCAAAAATCCAAATCGTTATCTGAACTAGTTTCGAGAGAATTTCGCAAATATTTCAGACATCAATGGGTTCAGAAAGATATATAACAAATACACAACCTTTTTCTTGACGAATGGGACGAAGATTTGGAGGATTGAAGTAAGTCGTAAGATTGTTCATACACTAATAAACAGTTGGGAAAATAATTCATTTGAATTCGGTACAATCGGAGAAATCTTCCATAATAGAGCTGCAGGACACACGGAGAGAAATGTTTAGTAAAAATTACGGAATAATTCGCTCACCGATTATGGAATCGACTCAGAAAATTTAAGTGACGACATCGTAATTTTTCACAGGAGATTCAGATAAAAATTACAGAACGCTCTGGAAAAATTCCGTGACAGTTCCGTAAAATTTCCTGCAACCACATTTCGCTCTGGAATTACGGAAAAGATACGTAATTTTTATTGATTATTTTTCCCAATCGGATTTCGACCAATCAGAGCACAGTATTTGAGGCTACCCGACAGTTTTATCTCAGATATTTCCTCCTAGCTTTTGAATATTTCGCAGTAGTTCTTCATATTTTTTACCTGAATATTTCGCAGTAGCTCTTCATTTTTTCGGATCATCTATGGAAATCGGGTTATTCTATTAACATAATTTGGTCAAATCTTCCCCAATTAACCTGATGTTCTCCACTGCATTCTGCTTGGCCGAAATTCGATTGGGAAAAATAATCCGACTAATACCCCTTGAGATTCAAAATTAATCGGGTATTTCCCTCAAACTCCCCTGCAAACAAACCATCCTGCCAAGTTTTGCAGAAAACTTTCGCACAAGCGCTCGGGATTTTTTAACTTGCAAAACTTGACACCCTCATTTGTTTGCAACGAAGCCATCGGGAAATATCCGATAATTTTGAAGCTCTTGGGGGATTACTACTGAATATTTCTCTCCGTGCACCCCCAGAAAGATGATCAGAAATCGATCGACCGATCAATCGCGTACTAGTGTCTATTTTTTTTCTTACTCAAGTCCGTAACATTCAGAGATGGCAAAAATGTAATTTGGAGTCAATTATAAGGGCGCAATGGTTCCAAAAGGGGCGGATACTGGTAAAAATAGATCAAAATGGATCTCTCGATATCAGATGTCCTTGACTATTTCTTCATGTATTGTGTGACATTTTTTCTTGCAGAAACTTCAAATATCATATCTTTCTTAAATATATTGAGACATTATTACCGAATGTATTAAACCTAGATTGATCACCCTATGAGGGAAACCCCGCCGCGAGTCGTTTTTCCTTAATTACAATTGACTGGCTAACCGGAAAAATTCAAAAAATTTGACTTTGCCGATTGAAGTGTCTAAAAAATTATAGTAGTTTTCAGAACAGCATATTTCTCAAAATTCGTAAGGAAAACAAATCATTTCGAACAGATGAATTATTTTGTCCCATGGTAAATAAAATTGCCCATGACGCGACGTTGCCGGAAACTCGCTAAACGCGCCCGGGCAGTGTAGAGTGAATTTGGCAACGCTAAAGCCTAAATAATACGGCGGCGAATTCCCGCGGAGGTGACCAAAGTCGTAGGATCGCGTTTGCTGACCAGACTAGGGTTAAAGGGAATTTCGCGGAATACACCCATAGAGTCGTATCGCAGAGGGCTCCCAGCCTTTAACTTGATTAAAAAATACATCTTCCGAACATCTTCATCATATTCAATGAATTGAAGAAAAAATTATGCACTAGTACGCGACTGATCGGTACATGGTTGAAAACCGAGGGTGTCCCGCAGCTCTATGATCAATACTGACATATCGTAATGATTATCAATTGCACCGAACTTGAACGAGACTGTTAAAAATTATTCATTCTTGTCAGAAGAATTTTCCGATTTTCTTTAAAACTTGGAAGTGTTTGCCCTATTCATCAAGATCACGTTACTGGAAAAAAATTTGTTGTTCCTATCAGAAATGTGTTTCTTCTCTTAGTTAGACAGCTCTAGTAGAATTGGGAATTGAATAATGAAAAATAAGACTTCAACTGCAAAAAATAGTAAGACAAGAATAAACGTTAGTAGTAAGAAATCAAACTCACGATCTCCAACAATTCCTTTTTCATGAAAGGTTTCATCATCGAGAGAATGACTTCCATGACTGGTGACGAGTGAATGAAGTGAAGTCCCTTCAAACGAACTGGGAGCGCATCCTGTAAGAATGTGAAATATTTCTTAAACCCCAGGGGACTCAACCGACCAGCGTGACCGAAGGTGACCCCCTCGATGTCTACAACGAAGAGATGTCCCTTCATAGTTCCTCTTTCACGAATCCATAAGTCAGTAACTATGTTCCATAACTTCATAGTGTTGTTCCAAGTGAAGTGCGAAGGACCGACGTCTATGAGACGACCGTAAGTTATCGCGAATCCTTCCGGGGTTTCTCCCTCAAGTTGCATATAAGCTCTGTCAATTAGAAAAGTATAATAAAAATTAATTTAAATATAAACGCTTCGGATCGGGAATTTTCAACTCTGGATGAGTTATTTTTTTATTGAATATGAAAATTCGATGGCAAATATTAGATACCAGTAGTGAAGCGGTAAACGGAGATAAGTCGACTTATCTTTCAGTTGAGTTTTTGAGGAATATTTCCGAATCTAAGGGAGATAGCGAAATTTTCGTAATTACATTTGTTGCAGCACTCAATCGGCTCCACAAAAAGGTTTGTTCGAAACGGAGCTAAAATCTCCATATTGTTTACGGTCGACAACGGACACAGGTCAGCGCGGCACCCGGTAGAGAAAAACCTACAGTAGCATTCCGAAAATCAGCGAGTTCATATCGAGTAGCAGTTAGTTGTGTTACGGTATCGTTTCAGTAATGATATAATCGAGTCAAGCTCATAGCATTCAACATTTAATACTTTCGTTCAGTACATCACCACATTAATTAGTTCAAGTTCATTTATTATCAGTGAATCAACTGGATTTAAATTTGAAGACAATAGCAGTGAATTTAACGACTATCAACATTTATAATTGTGCCAAAGAGTGTATTTAAGACGTTAATGAAGTGGTTCGATCCCACTAATAAACGGGAATTTTATAATCCGTCTCAAAGTTAATTTTCCGGCATTTCCCTTCACATTTTCTCCCACATCCACCCTAACTCCAATTCCTCACAAAAACAAGGTTATAACAAAAATTTTGCTATCTGCCTTAGATTCCGAGATATTGATTGAAAACTGGTCAATAGTCAAAATTGACTTATCTTCCTTTAAAACTTCGCTACTCCTACGTATTTCTTCATTTTGATTAATAACGAGAAATTTATAAGTTACAAGCTGTTGGAAACGACTGCATTATGTCCTTAAGGGGAGGCTACAACGAGTTTTAACTGTCGTGGGTATTGAAGATTGATTATATATGTCTAAAAACGCATAATTAGTGGGAAAAAATTATTTATTAGTTTATTTTCTGTTTGCCCGCAGACACAATGTTAAAAATAGTCCAGGGCCTCCAATTTTTAAGCTACAGAGGTTTTTCTTTCAGAATTCTTAATAAAATGTGTACAATAACAATTACGAATTAGTTTTTTGAAATTCTTCTCCTACATAGCTGATTTCGTAATTTTTATTTTCTATTTTTCAATAAAAATCTAAAAAACTATCGGATTTTCTAGGAATGTCGAAGGAATTTACGGGTTTTCCAAAAATTCGACGTTTTGCGAGCAAGATCATTTTTACTTCTAAATGGAAGCATTGTAATCATTCAAATTTTTTGCTATTAATTAAAATTAAATTCACCGACGGCGGTGGCTGGGTGGTTAGAGTGTCGGATTGGCATGCGGGAGACCCGGGTTCGATTCCCGGCTGGGGGGGCTAAAATTTGTGACACTCTAAATCTCACGGTTTCATTATCGAGCAGGAGTCTCGCAAGAGACGACTGTATCTGGGCAGGTTTTTCCCTCAAAAATGAGGTTTTCCCTTGTCCTTCGGCGAATGCGGCACAGGGGGTTAGGGGTGGGAAGGGAACAAATCGTAAAGACCCGAAAGGGTATACGAGAAAAAAAAAATTTAAATTAAATTCACCTATCAATTTTTTCAATTTTTGAATTTTTTCAAAAATTGGTTTTCTCATGATCGCTAAAAAATCTGAAATCATTGAATAATTGCTTAGAAAATTTGTTTGGGTTTCCTTTTGATTGAGTTTGAAGATAAAGGCGATAGCAATAATCGTTATTTTGATTTATTTGAATATTTGCAAAAATTCTCTATTTTAAAAAAATCAGAATCCCAAGAATATCTTTGGATATCACGCTTCAAATGAATTAAATCATAGCTTAAATGACATTAAGTCGAAGTTAAAAGATGATTATGACAGTTATCTGGGTTGATGTGATTTTTATGAGGATTTTTTAAAATTTCGAATTTTTCATCAATTTCCCTAAAAGTGAGCCATATGACGGTTTCTTCAAATGTGATGTTTCAAATTCATTGAAGAATCTATAAATAAAATTTTTCTATTAACATTTTATCAAACGGCTGAGGGGAGAGACAGAACCGCAAGACAATCGGTTGTATAGCAGAAAGGCATAATATGAATAATGATGATGATAACATTCAATCAAGTTGAAAATCTACTGTATGCAATACAAGAGCAATTTCTCACTTGTTTTTTCTTCAATCCATGAAACCTTTTGGAAAACTGAAAAAAGCTTAACGAGGGAATACCCCGGAAACCACCAGTGGATACACCTAATTCGAAATAAAAACAAGCAGCGCGACAGAAGCCATTTGACAGACTACATATGACTGCTACTCTCCACAATTTTTTTTTCTCCTATTTTCATTTCTACCAATTTCATTGGTAGTCGGCTTCCGAATGGATGCCAATGTATATTTTCAAAAAATGAAGGCATGAGGATTACCATTTTTTGAAGATATGAAGGCCAATCCCACTCATACTTCATGACAAAAAATGATTTACCATTGAAGATTTACCATTGAAATTTCTCTCAGTGCATCGACCTAAAATTTGAAAATTTGATATAGGAATGTTCATTGACAATCTTAACTAGAAGCCAACGTTTCAAATGGTTTCCCCGAGTTTTACCCATGTCATAATGCGCAAAAGTGAATCCCAACCAAATAAATACAAAAACGTAAACTTTTCAATCTAGATAGATGACATCAAAACGCACATTTTGCAGTGTCTGAATATCAGATTCCTTGAGTTCAGGTTCACGCTTCAGAAGCTCCTCGAAAGGCACTGGGTGTATTACTGCCATTTTTAATTTTTTTTTTTTCGACATGTCTTACGCTTCTTCTAAATGAATTTTGCTTTAGCAATGGTGTATGTAATCGAACGATGGATTTCTCTGGTTAATAATAGAGTTCACTTCTTTGTGGAATTGAATTACAAAGTTACCGACAACTTGTCTTTTTACGCGTAGTTCACCCGTGCTCTGTATAATGAGAGGTTCAACTTCGTACTGATTGGTAACAGAGCTGGTCGTATGATTTGAGATAGTTATTTCCCGAGCAGAATCTACACAGCTCCTATAGGAGCCTATTCTCAAGACCGTTTGTAATATATACGTCTGGAACGATGGTGTTCGTATACACAAAGCCCATCACCATCTCTGAAACAGCCTCCTCCAATTGGCGTGACGCTGCGCTAATAAATGACATTGTAGCTATGATAGGGCATAATTACCTCTTCGTACTCATTTCAACCTGTTATCAAACTTCCTTCATTACGGATGAATATTGTCACTAGTTGTTAATTAACTAATAACCTATTTACTAATCTGTTCCCGAAAAATCTCAAATTCCAATTCAGTCGCGAAGCGGTAAACCGGTCAAGTCGATTTTGACTATTGGCCAGTTTTTGACGAATATCTCGGAATCTGAAAGAGACAGAATAAATTTTTGCCACGAAATTTTTTGCAGAGCCAATTGTGGGTTATAAAAAAGGTCATGAGAAAAATTTTGCCATCTTTCTTAGTCAAAAGTAAAAATCGACTTAACCCGGTTTACCGTTTCGCTACTGAATTCGTTTTGGACTTATGATATCTGATGGTTGACGAAGCTTCCGAAATATTTTTCAATATTATGAATTTGAAAACTATTATTTCTTTTATTTCTCAAACTTTCATTCTTTGCTAATTATTTTTCAAACTTTCCTAATTACAGAAAACAATGTTGAGGCTTTTTTAAAGTATTCATTTTCGACTGTTAATAACACCAGTATTTAATGAGGAGATTACACTGACATGAAGACATTGTAACTTACCTGCACGTCTTTTAATGATAATGAGTCTCACTTTTTCGCCGACCTCCCGCACGGTAATTATATATGGAAAACCTTACATTGAAAAAATATTTTTGCACAATAATTATTACACGGTTTTCGTTCGAAGTACATGTTTAGAAAAAGACGAAACATTCTTGAAAAGGTGATAGTTAGTTCAGTTTCATAGCATCTCCTGTTTCCAATGAATATATAAGTTACTGTGTTGTGAACCTAATAAATGCCACCTTCATTTGATTTAGTACTTGCCGTTACCACAATGAGGGGATAAAGCCACCAGGCTTAGAAGTAGAACTTCATTAGATTGAAAACCACACAATCGAAACAGGAACAAAACAAGTAACAAAGTACTAACCACGATTTGGCAAAAAATGGGATTTTTATAAACACCAACTAAACATCAAAAGGTGCACGTCTACCCGGGTAGAAATCACGCCGCTCGAGCTCGGCTCGGAACCCGTATCCCAGCTAGAAATACGCCACTCCGCCCCGGCTTGGGATAAACTTCACGCGCGTCACATGTACCCGAGGTTGAGCCGCGTCACGCGCTCACAGCCCAGCGTTAGACTGTTACGCGAAACGCTTCGCCGGGCTTTAGTTGAATGGCCACTGCTCAACCTCAGGTTCATCTCCAATTACTCAATCCCAGTATACTTAACCTCAATAATGATTTGACAGGTCCGATGGCATCGTGATTTGAGCGAAAAAACAATCGAATAAATGTGAAGATGGCATGCTTTTTCAGATGAACAATCACAAGCTCATCAGAAATAGCGTGATATTAACTACTCGAATGGGATTAATCTGAAAATACAAGGTAGAACAATTCACTGAAACGTAGTCAAAACTTTCTTTTTTCTCGCGAATACAACAAACAAAATCAAGAAAAATAATCACTTGAAAAACGTTAACGAACCTTTATTATTAATTATCAACGCTACAGGAGAGGATATTCTTCATTTTTCGATAGGCCTACGAGTTCTAAGAATATTCTACGATTTATTAGGGAAATGTTGAATACAGGTATGCCAAAATAACACGCATGAAAAAATTCAACAGAAAAACCTAGCGCTTTCTATTAAATTTCTATTGGAATTCTATGAGAATTCTCTGGAAGTTCTATTAGAATTCTATTCGTTTCTTGCGCCA